ATGTGAACCCAGTCACTTATATGCCGTCCTCGCTCTTTTATCAGAGCCTGAAGAACAAATTCAAGTATCGTATAGTAGAATGAAAATCAGAACTTACAGCGACTCGTGGCCAAGTCTCGAGTGGGAAGAAAAGTGCAGACCTCACAGTCATATTCCCGAGTGAGTCCATCCATGTGTATACCTCTAGAGGAAGAATTTAGACGAGGGACATGATGTTTAAAATGGAATTACCTTCAAAATCGTTCCATGATTCTTTGATTGATCCACCAGGAAAGTATGACCCGAAATCAACTACTGAGGTGACGCCTTTAGAGACAGCATAATGGCTTGCTCTTGCCAGAGCTTCTCTACGTTGCTCCAATGACGGTTTAGGAACACAAGAAGTTAACAATATCATAGCAGCATCAACGAGTAAACCAGTTGGAACTACAAAGAAGGATGTTAGAACCAACTTCTCTATAATTCAGATAGGAGAATAAAAACTGACCACCATCTGCATCTCTTACAATGCTCCCACCAGTTGGATCTTCTTTAACGCTCTTCAAATCACAAATATCCATGGCAACTTTATTTGCAAGGCCCATGTGACCGTCCATCCTGCTGAGCCACACCTGTGTGATACTATGAACGTCAGGTTTTTAGAACCTCAGAACTACAACAAAAACCTCACCGGATTGTTTTCTGTGACACTATCAATCCAGGACGAATCTGGCCACTCACCTCCCCAGTGTTCGTTGCTCCATCCAAATCCTTGAAGCCACTCATTTGGCTCGAGCCCTTCAAAAGAAGCGATGAATATTATACACTCATGAAGAAAACAAATTCAAGAGCACCATGAGCAGCATGTTGAACTTTTTGTGTGAACTCTAGACGTGTGTGTACATCATGAAGATCCAATCTTACTAGCTGCAGGTAAGACGTTAATTTCCCTTGTTGTTTAAACTTAACATACCTGCAGGCCTCCAGGAATAAAGTGAACATGAGAATCAATGAAACCAGGCACCACAAACTGCCCCTCGAGATCACGGAATTCGGTATCAGAACCGGCAACCTCCTACAAGCATGAAATTTTGTGAAAAATATCTGTAACGAAGAAAACAAACGCTTACCTTGACAAATGAGAGAGAACCCACGCGAAGGATTCTTCCCCGTCTCACGGCCATCGATTCTGCCCATGGAACATCCTTGTCTGCAGTCCAGATACTGCAGTTCGTGATGACAAAATCAGCCGGTGCTCCTGGATTTCGTTTCCAAGATAGAAGAGCTGCTACGGCTAGGGACAGCAGCACTATCCCAAGTGAAGTTGCTAACGAACCCATCACGACTGTCTAGGGCCAGTTAGCTTTAACATTTAAATACACACTAGCTGCTTTTATCTGCATGCAAAGGAGACCCGATTCGATAAAATGTACTCGAAAGAATACCTGAGAAGCGCCTTGTTTAAAAATTGATTTACAAAAGCCCATTGTCAGTGAAGCTTACATCCCAGAAATTTCTCCATGACACTGTCCAAAGCCTGAGACAAAAGCACCGTTTAACAGCAGCGAAATAGCTTCAGAATCTTTACCTTTGATGCGAACGCTTCCTTCCTATCGAGGAGCGCAGCCATTGCGACACTGGAGTCGTCAAAAACACTATAAAAGCGCTTGTAGAACTCTGCTCTGTTAAAACCAAAGCCATAACCACGTAAAATCAACAGCATCCTAAAACTTGCTTACTGTGATGCTTCAGAAGCAATCGAGTCCATCTCTTCAAACTGTTTTGTCAAAAGTTCTGCAGCGACAGGACTGAGAGCATGCAATACGAGTGCTTCTAGTGAACGAGGAAATGTAGTCTGCAAATGCACAACTTGTTAGCGACAAACATAGCATACAGTGCCTGCACTTACCACCATGGTAAGAAAGATTCGACGAAGGCTCCGAGGGCTCGTATTTAGAAACACACTTGCGATAGGATCGTCCTCACAATTGCCATTGTTCACTGCGACCGCTACGCAGGATAGTATGACGTGAAGTTGTTTTGTTTCTAGTGGACTCAAGCTGTTCACGGTAAGATCTTCTGCTCCTTGCACGTCATCAAGATCAATTTCTACATCCACGTGAGGATTCCATCCGAGCATCGATCTCTGTAGAACAATATAAGTAAATTGCATTGGCAATTGTTGCTTGTTGACCTTTTCGGCGTCCAAAAGACTGGAAAACAAAAGAAGCTGTTAAAAAGCCAAGAGCAACATTTGCTAACCTCACTAAAATCCTCCGCAAATAATATGCATCCATGGGCGAGTCGAATGCGCAAGATTGTTTAGACGCCCACCAAAAGTTTACAGCAATGGTTAGAGCAGCACTGTCCACTTGGTGGAACCAGCCCTCTGGTATAAAAACTGCACTGCCAGCATCGACTACCAGAACCCGACTGTGTTTTGATGCATCTCTAAAGCGTGGATATTTTTGGTAGTCTGGTTCTACAAAGTTCACCTCGCTGCATAGAAACAGGAATAAAAGAAGTGTCTCTTTTTCTATAAAAACAAATACCTATGGTTCGAAGCTTCTCCATACAGTGGCTTGGGGTACAGATATGGCGCCGCATCAGGAGGCCACAGAGTAACTGCAACAAATACAACACTGAAAAATGCCACGCATGAAAAAGCTCTACCTTTCTTCTGACCCGTCACGACTCCAAGAACATTGTGGTATGGATCATAATGTATGCTTGACCGAGAAGACGTCGAACTCATCCAAAGGTTGATGTTTGAGACCGCATCCTCGTCCAGGAACTCTGGCTGAGCATGATAAGTTTCACAAAAAAAGAAAAAAGTAGACGAAGAATATATGATACCAGGGATATCTCGGATTCCAGAGAAGCGAGCGGAGGTTTCTCGGTTGAGTCTTTCACGCGTATAGGAACCTGCAGTGATATTCTTAATATCCGCAACACGGACAACAAGAGTAAATCTTAACCTGTGCCAGATAAAAGTGATCGTTGTGCTCTCCAGGTGACAAAACCATGTCTAGATATTCTCTGAAAGGCAACGCTACCTAGGAACCAGTTTAAGAACAAAAGAGGAGGAATCAAAGAAAAAATACAAACTCTTTCATGGCTTCTAATATCACCGAAGAACGTAGAGCCATCGCTGCTGACCATTGCTTGCACTAGAGGTTCTCCTACGATTTCCTTGAGAAGCGGTCTAATCCCTGCTCTAGGACACGAAAATCCTCACCTTAAGATGCTCGACACCGCCAGTGGCTGGATTCCACCGCTCAAATGCGGGCCATTGCCGCAGAATCCCTGGAAAAACCTGCCAGAAGCTCTAACAATCGAAACAAATCGACGCGCCTCTTACCACGGGAATGTTTCGAGCTTCCATCTCCCGGAATTCGTCCCTCGACGGTGGGCGCCAATTTTCCGCCATAGCCAAACGTTAAAAATGAAGAACCCTAGCTAGGACGTAAGTGGATTTTGGGCTAGTGTATGCGGCAATGCCACTCCGATCGCTATGGCGAATGCGGCAGCGTCGGCGAGGCGCGCGAGATCTTCGACGGCATGGACGATCACAGCAAGAACAGGTTCTCCTGCATCGCGATGCTCACCGTCTACGCGCACAACGGCAGGCCCTTGGACTCCAAGAATCTCTTCGATCGCATCCCCGGTGGCAGAGATTCCTTGGCGTGGAGTTGCTTCATCGGCGCATTTGTCAAGATCGGGGATCTTGAGCATGCAAGGCACGTCTTCGATCTCCTCCCGCGCTGGACCGTCGTCACATCCACGGCGATTCTCGTGGCGCTGGCGAAGCGTGGCAAGGCTGAGGACGCCAGAGCGATGTTCTTGGCGATGCCGGAAAGAGATCTCGTCGCCTGGAACGCGATGATCACCGCATATGCCCAGAATGGGAATCTCCAGGTAGCGGAGGCGATGTTTTTCCGGATGCTGGCCAGGAACTTCGTCTCCTGGACCACGATCATCGATGGATGTCCATGAAGCGCTGGTCAAGAAGGTGTTCGATTCGATGCCCCAGCGAGAGGTGGTGTCATGGACATGAGCGGGCGTTTGGAGGAAGCGCGAGCTGCCGGCCTCGAACATCGTCTGGTGGAACGTGATGATCCAGGCGTTCGCGGACAATCTCCTGGTGGACGAATCCAAGGAGCGCTTCCATCCAGCGAGCACGACTTCGTGTCATGCACGGCCTACTCGCAGACCAGCCAGATCTTCCTCGCGAGAGCAGCCGTCGATAGAATTCCCCAGCGCGATGTGGTGTCCTGCCAGTCGTATGCAAAAGCATGGATCAAGCGGACTCTTCCTTCCCGAATGATCTCAAGATATGCAATGATTTCAAGAAATTGTTAGATTATTAGATTAGTTAGCCAATCTCGATTTATATATGGATAGACTTTTTTTCAATTCTTTCTTGAGGGAAGACTTCCCTTGTTTCTTAAAGAAGAGCGGCATAGTTTTGTGTGTAACAGCTATCTCGTTTGCATCTATCTCGGCATTTGCTTGGATCTCGTTTTTGTTCCATGATTGTTCTCGGCAGCCACCAAAAAGGTATTTCCACACAGAGACACGAGAGATGTCGATGATGTCCGGAGGATACAAAAACGAACCCAAGCAAATGAAGTTAGTAACTGCGAATAGGAGAAAGAGGAAATGGCAAGTGTGCTTACCGGACTGACTGCTGCCACTTTTAAGCCGCTCGAACTTTCTTCACGACCAAGTCCTTGTCGAGGCCAGGAGCACTCCTTTTCGCACCACAGGGCCTCCTCCACGTCCTGTAGATCCTACTGCTGCTGCTTCTGCAAAGCTTGACAATCCATGGGTGTTGTAGAACCTGATCGACTGTCAGCCTTTGTTTCGGATCCACAGCCAGCATCTTCTCAAGGAGATCCTCCGCTACAAACGAGAAAGGACCAACCGGGGATGCCCCCTGTCGCACACGATCAAATGCTTCACTCGGCTGATATCCTCTCTTTCCCAGCATCTCGTATAAAATCGCTCCAAGCCCCCACACGTCGATAGCTGCTGTGTAGAAGCTCCCATCCTTGTTCTCTGCCACCTCGGGTGCCATGTACTTCCCCGTGCCACAGTACTGCGACATCTCCTCAGGGTCGTCTGTGGCCAAACCAAAGTCACTAATCACCACTTTGTCGCGCGCGTCTAGCTTGAAAAGGATGTTGCCCGGCTTGAGATCCCGGTGAACTATGCCTCTCGAATGCATCTCCTTGAGGGTCTCTGCCAGCTGCTTGATAATCTGAGCTGCTTCTTCTTCGCTCATCTGCCCGGAAACGCGCAAGCGATCAGCAAGACTAGATCCACATAGTTCCATAATAATACTCCCAAAACACTGTCCTCCATCTCTCTCCTTGATGAAATCTCTGAAGGAGACAACTCCAGGGCAGCCCCGGAGCTTGGCCATGATCCCAACTTCTCTCTCAGCGTCGCTCCCTGATCGAAATGCCTTGGCTGCATATGACTTGTGACCGTCCAGATTCTGGAGCACGAATACATGCCCCTGGCCGCCACACCCCAGCGTCCTACCTTTCTTGAAACCTCGCTGCCCCAACATATGAATGCTAAGAAGCTTTTCACAATCTTCCTCCCTAAACTCACTCACCACTGCCATCGTTCTTCTCTCTTTCACAAGCTTAAGACAAAAAACCCTAGCTTCTTCTACCGAATTTAACTACATGGCTGAGATGGCGTTTGATCGACGGCGACGATGCGCTGTGTTTTCTCAAATAGTATAACGCTTAAGAAAGGAATGCATTTCCACCAACGAAAGTAGAAACTACTCGAGGAAAAACTGCCGAGGATGTGTACCTGTGAATTCAAAAACAAGGACTACATTTCAGTTTCTCATCATTTTTCTCTTACCCTGCCACTGCGTCCCAAGCCGAAATCCTTTCCTCGGGAATCCAGGGATGACTCCAGCCTGAAGGTGTTCTCTCCACAAGTGTGCGGATCCCTTCAAGTCGATTCGCTGCTACCACCTTGAGACAAAACCATTCACGTAATGCCGAAGAAAAAGTACTTGACAGACTTCAGTGGGATCCTAGAGCAATCACGCTACCATTTCCGAGGAGGGAGCGGAAGTTATAAGATCCGCGCGAGCGCTTCTCGCCGCGCGAGCGCTTCTCGCCAAGTTTCTTCACAGCGTAGTAAGCATCATCTAAAAGTTGCTCTGGCTGTGCAAAAATCCAGGGCAATGGAGGCATCATGCATTCATCTGCTTACTTGCATCGACACAGATATGAACTTCCCAAATTTGGGGTGTGGTCCAGGCGAAAGGTGTTGTGCATGCTCTACCTGCAATCCCACGAGTCAAGCGATACAAACGTAGATTTGTTCATCGTTACTCTCAATCGATGTCCTTGATGGGGATGTTTAGAAATAGCATCAGCGTAAATTGCAAGTACGTCGTCGTTTGCTGCATCGCCAATCGCATGCACCGCTACCTAAAGTTCAATTGGTCAGTTTGTGCCAAACACAGTTCAGAGAATGTAAGCCAGCTTCTGTGGATCACAAAAAGTGCTTTCTTCCATAGCGTGGGGGCCGCGATAATGGCTTGTCGAAATGACAAAGCCCCGGATGGAGTGGCCGCCTTGCATGACACTGGAGACAAAACCACCGTTTAACAGCATCGAAATAGCTTCAGAATCTTTACCTTTGACGCGCTTCCTATCGAGGAGCGCTTGTAGAACTCTGCTCTGTGAAAAACCAAAGCCGCAACAACGTTAAATCAACACCATACTGTGATGCTTCAGAAGGAATCGAGTTCAAACGTTCTGCAGCGACAGGAATGAGAGCATGCAATACGAGTGCTTGTAGTGAACGAGGAAATGTAGTCTGAAAATGCACGAATTGTTAGTGACAAACATAGCATACAGTGCCTGCACTTACCACCATGGTAAGAAAGATTCGACGAAGGCTTCGAGGGCTCGTATTTAGAAACACACTTGCGACAGGATCGTCCTCACAATTGCCATTGTTCACTGCGACCGCTACGCAGGATAGTATGACGTGAAGTTGTTTTGTTTCTAGTGGACTCAAACTGTTCACGGTAAGATCTTGTATTCCTTGTACGTCATCAAGATCACCTTCTACATCCACGTGACGATTCCATCCAAGCATCGATCTCTGTAGAACAATATAAGTAAATTGCATCGACAATTGTTGCGTGTTGACCTTTTCGGCGTCCAAAAGACTGGAAAACAAAAGAGAAACTGTGAAAAAGTCAAGAGCAGCATTTGCTTACCTCATTAAAATCCTCCGCAAGTAATATGCGCAAGATTGTGTAGACGCCCACCAAAAGTCTATGGCTAGAGCAGTACTGTCCGACTGTGTTTTGATGCATCTCTAAAGCGTGGATATTTTTGGTAGTCTGGTTCTACAAAGTTCACCTCGCTGCATAGAAACAGGAATAAAAGAAGTGTATCTTTCTCTATAAAAACAAATACCAATGGTTCGAAGCTTCTCCAGACAGTGGTTGAGTACGATAACTGTTACAAAACAAAAAGAAAGTACACGAAGAAAATATGATACCACAGAGATTTCGGATTCCAGAGAAGCGAGAGGAGGTTTCTCGGTTGAGCCTTTCACGCGTATAGGAACCTGCAGTGAGATCCTTAATATCGGCAACATGATACTCTCTCTATAACGAAGAACAAGTTAAGAAAAAACAATCAAAGAAAAGCTACTCTAGAACACGAAAATCCTCACCTTAAGATGCTCGACACCGCCAGTGGCTATTCCATCGCTCAAATGCTGGTTATGGCCGCAGAATCCCTGGAGAAACCTGCCAGAAGGCTTACTTCGAGCTTTCATCTCCCGGAAGTCGTCCCTCGCCAAATTTCCTCCAAAGCCAAACGTTAAAAATGAAGAACCCTAGCGAGAGGTAAGAGGATTTTGGGCTAGTGTATGCGGCAATGCCAGCGCTTGTCCTGCCGATTGATCGCCACCAGGAGCAAGAGCTCGATCGCATTGCGGCAGGAGCAAGAATTCGTCCAGCTAGTGCGTTCTTGCACCGCTTCCAGGGATATTTCGCGCGGGCGGCGCGTGCACGCCCAGATCTGGAGCCATGGCCTCTCCACCGACGTCTTCCTATGCAATGCGCTGCTCCACATGTATGGCGAATGCGGCAGCGTCCGCGAGGCGCGGGAGATCTTCGACGGCATGGACGATCACAGCAAGAACAGGTTCTCCTGGATCACGATGCTCACCGTCTACGCGCACAACGGCAGGCCCTGGGACGCCAAGAATCTCTTCGATCGCATCCCCGGCGGCAGAGATTCCGTGGCGTGGAGTTGCCTCATCGGCGCATTTGTCAAGATCGGGGATCTTGAGCACGCAAGGCACGTTTTCGATCTCCTCCCGCGCTGGACCGTCGTCACATCCACGGCGATTCTTGTGGCGCTGGCGAAGCGTGGCAAGCCCGAGGACGCCAGAGCGATGTTCTTGACGATGCCGGAGAGAGATCTGGTCGCCTGGAACGCGATGATCACCGCATATGCCCAGAATGGGAATCTCCAGGTAGCGCAGGCGATGTTTTTCCGGATGCCGGCCAGGAACTTCGTCTCCTGGAACGCGATCATCGACGGATGCGCGCAGGGCCAGGATGAAGCGCTCGCCAAGAAGGTGTTCGATTCGATGCCCCAGCGAGAGGTGGTGTCATGGACGGCGATGGTAGCAACATATAGCCAGAGCGGGCGATTGGAGGAAGCGCGAGCTCTCCTCTCCAAGATGCCAGCCTTGAACATCGTCTCTTGGAACGTGATGATCCAGGCGTTCGCGGACAATCTCCTGGTGGAGGACGCCAAGGAGCGCTTCGATCGAGCGCCCGAGCACGACTTCGTGTCTTGGAACGCGATCATCACGGCCTACGCGCAGACCAGCCAGATCTTCCTCGCGAGAGCGGCCTTCGATCGAATGCCCCAGCGCGACGTGGTATCCTGGGCGACGATGATCCAGTCGTATGCCCAGGAGGGGCAGCCCAGCATGGATCAAGCGAAGGAGATCTTCGACAGGGCGCCGCAGAGGAACGTCGTCTCCTGGAACGTGATGATCACGGGCTACTCGGCGAGCGGCCGGATCAAGCAGTCCCGGGGGCTGTTTGAGAGGATGCCAATGTGGAATCTCATCTCCTGGACGAACGTGATCGTGGCGTGCACGGTGGCGGGCGAGATCGACGCCGCCAGGAGGGAATTCGCCGCCATCCCGGATCAAGCCATCGACCTCCAGTGCTCCACCTCGATGCTCTCCGCGAACGCCAGCGACGGGCAGCTCGATAGAGCCAAGGCTGTCTTCGACACGATGCCGCAGAAGGACGTGATCTCCTGGGCGGCGCTCGTTGCCGGCTACCTCCAGAACCAGCAGCTCGCGGAGGCCAAGCGCGTCTTCGATCGGATGCCCGCCACCAATGCCGTGTGCTGCAACACGGTGATGGCCTCCTTCGCCGGCGCCGATCGGATGCCCGAGACGCGATCGCTCTTCGACCGGATGCCCGAGAGGACGCTCGCCTCCTGGTCGACGATGCTGGGCGGCTATGCCCAGTCGGGGCATACCGCCTCCGCCAAGAGCTTCTTCGATCGAATGCCGCAGAGGGACGTGATCGCCTGGAACTGCATGGTGGTGTCCTACGCTCGCAATGGTCACGTCCGCGAGGCCCGCGCGATCTTCTCCGCCATGCCCGAGCACGACGAGGTCTCCTGGACAGTGGCGATCGCGGCGTGCGCTCACAATGGCTACCTCGAGCAGGGGCTGGAGCTCCTGAGCTACATGCTCCTGGCAGGGATCTCTCCCGACGACGTGACTTTCCTCTCGATCCTCGCGGGTTGCAGCCATCTCGGGGAGCTCTCCAGGGGGGGAGAGTTCTTCCGGAGGATGGTCGGGGATTTCTTCCACGATCCGAACCGGGAGCACTACTCGAGCGTGGTGGACATGCTGGGGCGTCTCAAGCTGCTGGATCAAGCGCGGGAGCTGATCGATACCATGCCTTTCGTCCCGGACGCGGTGGCGTGGACGGCCTTGCTGACGGCGTGTAAGCAGCACAGTGACACACAGGGGAGCTTGCGAGCCGCGGAGATGGTCTCGCGCCTGGCGCCCAGGAGTGGATCGTCCTACGTCTTGCTCTCCAACGCATTCGCGAGTGGAATCGCTAGCCGCGGGGAGCTGGTTTCCAAGATTGATGATCACGACCCGCTGGAAGCATTCGATTGTTCTTGAGGGCGCTCGCTCGAATTTCTCACTGATCGACGAGTTCTCTGGAGTTCGTTTCATTGGAAACACTCTTACCAATCAATTATCAAAACAAGATCGATCAATCGAAGCCCATGTCACTCATCGATTATCAAATTGGCCACACAGGCCCGAGCCCCAGCATTGACGAGCGTGCGCACCATCCCGCCGTGCTCCAGCGCCAGCGCCATATCCAGCGCGCTCAATCCCTCCCGCGTCACACCATTGATCTCGATCATCTCGCAGCCTACCAAGATCTTCACCACTTCCCGGTGCCCGGATTCCACCGCGCAATGCAGCGCACTGTAACCCTGCTCATCGATCGCGCACGCCTCCTCCTTGCTCTGGCAGCTCTCCAGCAGCCGCTTGACGATCTCAGCATGGCCTTTGAATGCCGCGCAGTGGAGAGCAGTCCATCCATACCGATCGCAAGCATTCACAGCGGCGCCACGCTTGAGACATCTCCTCACGCCCCGCAAATCGCCCGACCAGGCGGCGTTGCGGAGGAGCTCTTCGAGATCATCCCCTAGCGGCGCCGGCGAGGCCACATTCTCTGGAACCTGGAGTAGGGCAAACAAACTTTCCTGCCCTAACTCAACGGCCTCATCGTAGGCCGTCCGTCCATTCCAATCGACGGCTCCCCGATCGGCGCCACATTTGATGAGGAGCTTGGCTATGGCGACGTTGTTGCCCTGCGTCGCCGCGAGGTGGAGCGCCGTCTTCCCGTCCACCGTTCTAGCGCTCACATCGGCGCCGCTCTGTGCCAGGATCTGGACGCTATCGGCGTTGCCGCCGATCGCCGCTAGATGCAGCGCTGTTCTCCCGTCGCCGATTGGGGCATTCACGTCGCAGATCTTGCTCAGCACCCCTAGCGGCTCCAGGGATCCACTGCTCGCGGCGTGATGGATCGGGCGCCAGCCGCTGGAATCCGCGCGCTCCGGATCGGCGCCGCGCGCGAGCAGCATCTCCAATATTACGGTGTGGCCGACCATCGCCGCGCAGTGGAGCGGGGTGTGGCCGTCGGCGTTCATCGTCTTGGAATCCACGCGAGCGCCGAATCCCAGCAGGAGCTGGACCATGTCGGGGCGCCGGCTCTGGATCGCGAGGTGGAGCGCCGTCAATCCCTGCGTGTTCCAGGTATCCGGATTCGTGCCGCTCTCAAGAACCTGGCGGGCGTCGTCCATGGCGCCGCGGATTATCGCATCGCGCAGCACGATCCCGCCGATAATCCGGACCTTGAGGCTGATATCGGTGTAGACGACGCGCTTCTGGGGTGTGAACCACTCCTTGGATTTCCCAGCGCCGGCGACCACCACGGATTTCACCTCGAATCCATCCACGCTGAAGAACCGCGACGAGGAGGAGCTAGGGAGGAGCGAGATTTCCAGATTGACGCCTCCCAGCGGCGGGATCATCCCCAGCGAGGGCTTGACGCTGTATTTGCTGGCGACCATGGGCTGGATCTTGAATGCCACGGGCATGGTGTGGAGGACGCTGTGGAGGTGGACAGTGGCCGTGTGGGACGAAGATCCATCGATGTGGTCCTCGAGATGGAGCCTTACCTCTGTGGGATCGACGACCACCAGCCGATCCATGGCGAGATTGATCCCTTGAAGCGTGAGAATCATCCAGGGCAAGAGGACTCGCTGTCAAGCCTTGGGATTCATGGCGCGATGCGAGCGAAGACGACACAAGGGGGCGATATTGCAAATGCATAGCTTCGTAACTTAGGGTTCTTCGCAAAGGCGGGAACTCTGGGCTAGGGCTTTTGGCGATGGAGAATGCTACGATCCAGCCAGGCGATGGCGTCGCCAGGCGCCGGGAAGGTATCCCTCTCCTCGCTGCTCAGCGCATTGAAATCCTGCGGCAGCTCCAGGGACTTGGAGCGAGGGAAGATCCTCCACTCTCGCGCGCTCGACTCCGGCTATGCCTCGAACACTCTCGTCGCCACAGCGCTCCTCCACATGTACGCCAAATGCGGCGCCATGGGCAGCGCTCACGCGATCTTCCAGGCGATGCGCTCCCACGACGTGGTCAGCTGGACAGCGCTCATCCTTGGCTACGCCGACAATGGCCGCGGCCATGTGGCGCTCGATCTCTTCTATGCAATGCGGCGCAGTGGCTGTGATCCAAACGCCAGGACGTTTGTAGCGGTGATCCTGGCGTGCTCGAGCATGGCAGCGGTGGACCGACCCATGGCGATCGAGAAGGGGCGATGGGTTCACGAGCAGGCGGCCCAGCGCGGCTTCGACACGGATAGATTTGTCGGGAACACGCTGGTGGACATGTACGCGAAGTTTGGAAGCATGGCCGACGCTGCCAAGGCTTTCGATCGAATGCCACACCGAGACGTGGTGGCATGGACGTCACTGATGCTCGGCTACGCGGCCGCCGGCGAGGGGGAGCTTGTTCTCGAGCTCTTCTCGCGGATGAGATCGCAAGGCTGTGCTCCGGATCGCCTGTGCTTCACTGCTGCTCTCACGGCATGCTCGATCGTCGCTGGGAAAGAAACTGGCAAAAGAATCCTAGTGCCAGAAGCTCATCCAGCGATGGTGGTGAAGCTCGAGAGCTTGCGAAAGGTGATGGAGATCCACTCCCAGGCCGCTACCTCCGGGAAGAACTTCGACGTGTGCCTGAGCAACACGCTGGTGGATGCCTACTCCAAATCCGGGAGCTTGCTGGATGCTCGCCGCGTCTTCGATCGGATGCCACGCCACGACGTTGTCTCGTTCACGGCACTGATGCTCGGAGCGGTGGAGGGCGATCGAGCGGAGACTGCCCTCGAGCTCCTTGGATCGATGAGAGCACGGGGCTGCGAGCCCAATGCAAGAACTTTCGTGGCGGGACTGATGGCGTGCACCAACTTGGCAGCCAAAGAAGAAGCTCGGTTGGAAATACTCCCGGATGGTACAAGGATGGCGATCAAGCTTGCGAGCCTGGAGAGAGGAATGGAGCTCCACTCGCAGGCCGCCAAGGAACGATACGACGTCACGGACATGTTCGTGGGGAACACGCTGGTGGATTTCTACTCCAAGTGCGGCAGCCTCCAGGACGCGACGAGAGCTTTCGACAGGATGGCGGAGCATGATCTCGTCTCGTGGAACGCCTTGATAGCGGGGCACCTGGACAACGGCCTGGACGAGCGAGCGCTGCAGCTCTTCCTCGAGATGGACCGCCGAGGCTGCTCGCCGGATCCAGCCTCGTACGCCTCGGCCCTCGCGGCCTGTGCCGGGCTCGCGTCTCTGGGAGCCGCGCGAGACATCCACTGGCGACTCTGCAAGGCCGGGCTGGAGACTGACGCCTTCGTCCACAACGCGCTCGTCGACTTCTACGGCAAGTCTGGCAGGATGGCCGACGCCGAGCTCGTCTTCCAGTCCCTGGCGAGCGTCGACGTTGTGACCTGGAACGCGCTGGCCGCGGGGTTTAGCCGTCAGGGGAGCTACCGCCTTGTGGTGGATCTCTTGTGGGCGATCAAGGACCAAGGCCTGGAACCCGACGGTATCACTTTCCTGGCGCTTCTCGCGGCCTACGGCCATGCCGGGCTGGTCGACCATGGACGCCGGGCCTTCGCCGCTATGGTGGAGAGTTACCGGATAGAGGCGGGCATCGAGCACTACCACTGCCTGGTGGACATGCTGGGGAGGGCGAACCGGCTCGAGGAAGCCTTGGCGGAGGTGGCGGCAATGCCGCACAGGCCGAGCTCCGTGACTTGGACGACCGTGCTGAGCACCTGCGTCAAGTGGAAGAACTTGGACGTCGCGAGCGTGGCGTTTGAGTCGCTGCTGGGGATTGATCCGGACGGGCCAGCGGCGTACGTGTTGATGGCGAACGTCTATGGGAGCGCCGGGATGGCGGAGGAAGAGGCCAGGCTTCTAGAGCGCGTTAGATCTTGTTATCTAACTCCAGGAACACCGGTCGAAGCATCGATCGATTGATACATTAGTACGAACAAGAGGAGCTCTTAGAGAACTCCAGAGATCTAGAAGAACTTAGTGAAACCATTGATACATTAGGATAGGAAGAACAAGAGGAGCTCTGCGTCGTAGTAAAGAGAAACAAGAGAAACAAAACATCGATCCATTGATACACTAGTAAGGAGCTCTTCGAGAAGAACTTAACTCTGTAACTCGGCTGTTCCTCGCTGAAAGAAAAGAGAGAAGTTATAACTTGTGACAAAATAGTGAAACTTACTTGAAGCTATAGTCTTGCATTAGTCGAGAAGTGAATTTTCTTTTTTCTTTAGCTACATAGCTCTGCCTTAAACAAGAGTACCATCAAACACCGTCCAGCCCAAGAGAAGAACAAGAAAAAACTTACAATCATCCTCAAGTGATCGCCACTGCCACTCCAATCCATTCCACGTCCAATCCTTCCTCTCACTGCGGTGGAGGCTGCATAACCGGCGGCCTCCCAGGGAACACCGGCGGCCCTCCAGGCCTGGGCGGCGCACCTCCAGCGAAATTGGGCGGCGGCATCCCGGGCCGCGGCGGCGCTCCCATGGCTGGCGGCGGACCCCCGGGCCGCATCATCGGCGGAGGAGCCATCGGCCGCTGCCCAAACGGCGCCATCCCCGGCCGGATCACCCCCGGGGTCATGGGCGGCGGCCGCTGTGGAGGAGGATACGTCACCGGCCCCGCCGAGACCGTGGGTGGCGGCCGCATCAGACCGGGAGCTGGGCCGCCCACGCCCCGCCCAGGCCCCGCTAGCCCCGGCTGCGCCGCCATGGGCATCGGCATCCCCCGCCCGGCCGCGCGCCCCATTCCTTGCCCTGGCGGCGCGATCCCCGCCCCCTTGGACTGCTCCTGTGGCGGCGGCCCCTCCACTGTCATGGACACTACCTCCTCGCCGCGCAGGAGGATCAGGCCGAGCGTCCGCCGATCCTCTCGCTCCTCGCCGCCCTGCTGCTTGCCCGCGCCCTTCTTGGGCGGTAGCCGCCGGAACTCCTCCGTGTCGCCCAGCACGAAGTTCATGTGGCGATCGAAGGCCATGAACTTGCCCACCAGCTGCCGCCCGTCCTGGATCGTTACCCGCATCCTGTAGTTGATGTAGTTGAGCATCTTGGAGCTCTTGGAGAGCGACATCGTGGCCGGGAGCGCGATGCGCCAAGAAACCTAGCCCAAGAACCCTAAAACGCTAGCAATGAAAGAGCCCTACAAAGCGAAGAGATATAAAGAGGTCCTAAGCAAGATCGCCGCCGTCCACCGAGCAACGCATCCAAGGGCTAAGAGAAGTCTCTCTCTCTCGACATCAAAGTTTCAAGCGTTTGAGATTCTTTTGATGCGAGTGAGATCACATGAGATTTCTAGAGCGATGCCAGCTGCTGCACGCTGATGGGATCATTGAATTCCTGGCCTCCAAAATACGTGAAATTCGCGACGATGTTGTTGGCCCTCGCGGTGGTGTGGAAGGAATCAAAGAAAATGCGCTGGTCGTAGTCCCGGCAAGATGGAAAGTGAGGCAGGCATTGAATCAAACCATTGTACCGTCCTTTGCCGCAGCACGCAATCGAGTTGAATGTAAACCCTGAGATGGAAGAGACGAACTTGTGAGAAGAACAGAGTTTCGGATCTTGGGTGGTTTATACCGAAATTCGAGGGATTGTTGTAGATTGTGGTGACTTCCTTATACGAATCCGTGTGGACGATTTCCAGCCCCGAGAGCGTCTTGCGCAGCTTCTGGATCAAAGGCTTGAATTCCTTGTTGAAATTGATGGCGAAGTCGTTGACAAACTGGATGCATTCCCCGTTCTTGCTGCCGTAGAATGCGAGCGAGCGAGGGATGCAGCCAATCGGCGGGATGTTGAAGGCGATGAGCTTGCGCACACCAATATCGTAGAGCCTCTGCGAGGGAGAGTTTAATCTTTTGGAAGCCAGTGTGGTTTGCTAGAGATCTATGAGAGATGAATCGTTTGGCACACAAACCTTTACTTGTTCCGCGTATGTGGCGATGAGAAGGTCCTGGAACTGTTTCGGGGGGAGCTTGGCCTCCTTGGTGGCCTTGAAGAGATAATTGTTGATGTAATCGTTGCTGCCAACGATGGTGGCGACGATGGAGCTCGCGATCAAGTTCTCCGCCGCCCCAGGCCCGATGACACCAGCAATCTGTTGCTTCACCTTCGCCAATTGCGTGACTTGCTCCGACAGTGGAACCCTCCCAACCTGTGATTGTATGTCCAAGAAAAAGAACTTGGATCAGTGGGAGAATTCACAACTTAGGAAAGAGAGAAATGGATCGAATTTACAAAGATGTTTCCGGTGGCGTCGATGATTCCGCAGCCAGCGGAAGCGAAATTGACACCTTGGAGATAATTCACGGCAGTCAGTGATGGATCCAGGAATGCCGGAGGGAGTGGAAGTCCAAGCAATGCAGCTGAAAAAACCAAGAAAACGACATAGATTTCATGAATCTCTTGGGGGAAAAAAAAAAAAAAAAACAGAGGAAGAGAGAAAGAAGATCTTGCCGAGCCAATCCGCGGAAGTGCGACCGTTTGTGAATCTCCCGGTCGGCATTCTCGTGTCGAACTGCATGCCATACGGGGGGAAATTGCTCTTGGCGATCGTGACAATGTAATTGTTGTTGCCGGGATCCACGAGCGAGTCTCCGATCACGAAAAACGCAGGAACTTGGGCCGCCTTACAAAATCCTGGAAATCGGGAGAAAAGCGTCAATTGCAGGGCGATCAAGAGCAGGAAAAGCTGCTGAGCCATGGCGACCGGGGATGAATTCACGATGGATAGTCACCGAGATTTCTTATAGCCAGCCACGAAATCTTCGTTTACTCTGCTCCACAGAGGCCCAATTGATCGGTCGATTGATCTTAAATGGAACCGCGATCGTGGAATCATCGAGGTTGGTGTTCGTTATTTCTGATCCAGCCACAGTATTGGCAGCGCGAGCCCGATCACTGCAAGAAAAGAGTGCTTTTTATTTATGAAATGGAATTTCCCCATTTAAGGCATTTGGTGAAATCCGAGAGACAGCTCAAAAAGATCCCTGCGATGCAGCAGAGCCTCGTCGGTGTTTATATCTGCCGCTCGCTCGTTAACATCAGCACCCTTTTCGCGCCCCACCGTTGGATCTCGCCACCTTTGTCTACATATAGAGGGCGAGATGTTAGGGTTTATAAAAAGGATCCATCAATGGTGAAAGTTAAGATCGTTAAGGATGGCCCAAAGGAGAGAGATGCTTTGGCTCCAAAGAAACCAGTGGTGATGAAGAAGCCGCTGGCAATGGAACTAGACGAGGCCAAGATCAAGGATCATGTTCATGTTTCCGTTCCTAGCGAAACAATGACCTCAAGAACAATCTTGAAGCAGCAGCAGGCTATGGAATTAAACAAGGAATTGGCTCCAGAGATCAGGGATCCTGTTTCCATTCCTAGCAAAACAATGGCCTCAAGAACAATCTCTAGCAACTCCGCAACAATCTCTGGATCATCTAAAACGAACTCCACCAAGGTGAAGGAAGGGATGATAAGGGATCCACCCAAGCTAAAGAGATTCACGGACTACATCCAGTTTGGCGACGAGGCCCCACGGTGCCGCCTCACTGCTCCCAAGAGAAATCTAAGAATCGAAATTCCCTAGAACTCGTACGGTAGAACTTTTCTCGTAACTTATCGTACGGTAGGGCTTTTGCCTGTTACCCTGTCAAAATTTGAAAAAAGGGATGAAATATAAATGTCATTGTTTTCCACGCGGGAAAGTTTTTAGTAGGTTTCGCGGTCGATTCCGGCGAGGAGATAGCTTTCCGCGATCGGACGCTCCAGCTACTGCCACGCCAGCAACGACGAGCTACCGAATTAGCATATTCGCTGCCCCTGGAAAAAGAGCATATACCGAGGAAGGAGGGGTTTTTTGGGGGTAAAGGAGGAACAGCACTTGATCTCTGTCGGTGTGCTCTCTCACGGGCGCGCTCCGCTAGGTTTGTACCTCGCGATCCCAATCCCTATCTCTCGGCAGCGCATGCGAGCTGAGATCACTCGCTAGGGCTTAGATCTGTGCGCGTCCTAGGTCGCTGAGCTCTCTTTTGCGCAGGATCTCTCGGCTTGCCTCGCCGATGCCAGTGAGGGATCGATAGGTATTGCGTGGATTTCGGGGAAGGAGGAGAAATGGGGCAGGATTCGCTGATCTACAGCTTTGTTGCGCGGGGCACTGTGGTTCTCGCCGAGTACACGGGTTTCTCCGGTAACTTTAGCACCATCGCCATTCAGTGCCTCCAGAAGCTTCCCGCCAACAACAACAAGTTCACGTACACTTGCGACAAGCACACCTTCAACTATCTGGTCGAGGATGGATTCAGTGAGTTTTTTCTTCTTTTGTTTAGTTTTGTTCGTTCGATCGATCGATCGCTTGGCTCACTGGCTGTTCGTTTTTTTTTTTTTTTCTCTTGTGATCTTGTGTAGCTTACATGGTTGTGGCTGACGAGGAATTTGGAAGGCAGATACCATTCGCGTTCCTAGAGCGTGTCAAGGAGGACTTCAAGCGTCGCTATGGGGGAGGAAAGGCTGACACTGCCATTGCCAACAGCCTAGACAAGGAATATGGGTAAGTTCGTTTTCTCCTTTTGTTTGGTGGTCCAGCTCGCTTTTCGTTTTTGATCCAGGCCGAAGCTCAAGGAACACATGCAGTACTGCGTCACTCATCCCGACGAGATGAACAAGATCGCCAAGATCAAAGCCCAGGTCTCCGAGGTGAAAGGTATCATGATGGACAACATCGAGAAGGTACTTGCCTAGTTTCTCGATTGGGGGATGGATTTGTGAGCTCTGCTTCGCCGCTACAGGTGCTGGATCGAGGCGAGAAGATCGAGCTGCTCGTTGACAAAACCGACAATCTGCGCTTCCAGGTAACTCAACACCCGCGTTTCTAGATCAAAGTTCTTTCTTTGACTGATACACATCCGTGTTTTTTATGTTCTTCCAGGCTGACAACTTCAGACGCCAGGGAAGAGACCTTCGCCGGAAGATGTGGCTGCAAAACATGAAAGTGAAGCTGATTGTTCTCGGGATCGTCATCGTGCTCATCCTCATCATCTGGCTCTCGATTTGTAAAGGATTCAAATGCAAGTGAAACATCGAGTTCGTGGTAAGGCCTAGGACATCACTACTATACGAAGAAAACGATGAAAAAAATATCTCCCTAGCGTCGCTCTTATAATTTTTTTTGTATGGTTTCTCGAGAGGGAATACGATCTGATTGATTTGAAACTATCCTTTCCAGAGTATATTCATCCAAGTCTAAGAGAATATGCCTCGATCGTGTTTCTAGGGCAACAATGCGCGCCGGGGATGGAGTGCTCAATCGGCTCCAGCGCTTCCTTCTCAGCCGCGAGCGCTCACAGGTCTTCCCACATTCCCGATTCCTAGCACCAGCGCCAGCGCTGGAGCCCGGAATCTCGCCCAGGGTTTCGTGCTTCTTCTTCTCCACGGGTTCCAATCCGATCAACTCGCCTCCAGCGCCATCGCATGAGCAAGGCGGGCGAGAGGAACCCCCACGGCCGCCGCCGCCGCCATCACCGGCGTCGTGGATCCGCGCCAAACTCACGGACCTGGGCCGGGATCTCAAGCTGGTGCCGCCGCTGGCCAGATCCCTGGGCCTCGCCGGCGCCATCCCCTTCGTCGCGCTCTCGCCCCCGATCGCCTACGTCCTCCCGCTGCCCGAGCTCCTCGCCTCGATCCACGCCGCCGACGCCCAGGCCGCCTATGGAGCGCTCATCCTCTCCTTCCTCGGGGGGCCTCACTGGGGGGTGGCCATGGCCAGCCCCGAGTCGAGCAGCCCCGTGAGCTTCTCGGGCTACACCATCGCCACGGTGAGGTACGTCTGGGGCGTGACGCCGTGCTTGCTGGGATGGTTTGCGATGCTCCTCCCTCGATCGTCGGGGCTGGCGGTGCTGGTTTCTTCCTTCCTCCTGGCGCTCGCGGTGGACTGGGCTATGGCGGCGAGGGGATTGCTGCCCGCGTGGTACTTGCCGCTCCGGATGCTCCTCACTGGGATCGCGGTGATGGGCCTGGGATCGACGCTGCTGCTGCTGCTCGCCAAGGATTTGCCGCGCAGGGTGGAATCCAAGATCGAGGCGGCCAGGAAGGAGCGTTGAATTGGAGGTAGCTTAGCTTGTGTTTCTTATGCCCAAGTTGTCTATAGTCATGTAGTATGCCATATGCCCAAGACTGGCATCTGTGGAAAACCCTGGTTTTTGCAGTGTATCACCGGCATTTTGAGAATGATCTTGCGTTACGTTCTTTTGGATTGACAGAAAGCTTCCTGAAAGTTGGTTTTAGAGTACGTGCAAACGTTGTCATATGCCCATGCAGGGCATCTGGAATGCAATGGGCTTTGTTATCTAGACCAACTGAGACTCGAGTGACCTCACGGACGACTCGACTGCGCGAATCAAACGCCTCTAAAACTTTTTGGGCATCGAGGACATTGTCGGTTTACCGCCAATGAAGCTTTCGTCTGTGGATCAAACACTTCTGGAGCCGCGAATGAGATTGAGATCGTCAGGTGGAGATGATTGTGTGAAGCCAGGTGCTGGGACAAAGCGCTGGGACCCCAGAGCTCATGATTGTGGAGTGGTCCGTCCGATTAATCCTTGGCCAGGGGCACCGCCAACGTCACCCATCGATCGATACCCTTTGATCATGAAAATGCTCCTGATTGTGCTTCCTTTCGCATCCCCATCACTTTTGGGCTTTTGGACAAGCTTTACATCATGCTAGCCATCTTGTTGCAACCCGAGTGTTCGTGCAGGCTTTCTGTGCGAAAGCTCCAGATTGTTTCTCTCTTCTTTTTTTTTTTTTTCCTTTCGTGTCCCTAACAATGTGGTCCTTCGGAATTTTAGAGATCTCAAGCTCTCAGCCACATATATGAACTTAGATAGATATACATGGGAGTAAGGAGATGTACTGCAAAAATCATATGAAGATTGCTGTGGTGTTCGCTCTTGGATGGTGAAGATTGCAAAAGCTCATAAAGAGGAAAGAACAAGTCCGCTGTTAGAATTGTGGTTGTGTTGTGCGTAGGTTTTATAGGTGCGTGAAGAACGTCGGTGGAAAAAATGCAATTCATGATCCTTGGGATTAGAAAATAAGTGCCCGTGAGTCAAAGATTCTAAAGTTTGCTGGTTAGAAAGAACTATCTTCTCTATATGCAAAGGGGAATCAACATCATCAGCTTATATATATTTATCATACAGGCTATGATTTGGTAGTGAAGTGGAGGTTATCTATAAATATTAGCAAAGCAGTTATTTGTCATGACCTCAAAATTATACAAAACTCAACCACAAACTGTCTTGAGTTTATGATTACAAACGTGTGAACATTTAATCATAACAACTTTTCTTAAATTTATTCCTCGATTTTAATTTATTTCTCAAAAAGAATTTCGTAACAAAAAACTTCTACGTCATTTCATCATCATCTTAAAATTTACTATACTATTGGTCTTTTTTCTCTCAATAAAATTAAAATCATCATAGATATGATCGGAAATGTGTTTAGCATCTTTTGATACTCCAAAAATGCCTTGTCTTGACATTCCAGCAGCATATAAACCTTTATCACAATTCCAGCCCGATTTTGGAAAGCCATCTCTTGAAAAATAATTCCCGTCATCCTAAATAACCAAAGCATTATTATTCCATTTTTTTTAATAAACTAATTACCTTAAACCATGAACACACCATGCTCTTATAACCCGTTGCCAAAATGATGGAATCATATGATTCATAACGACCATTCTCAAAATAAACACCCTCCCTATCAATTTTTCCCATACATGGCATCACCTGGAATAAATTAGAATATCCATTATATCCATTAAAAATAACAAATAAAAATAAAAATTATTTTACCTTTATAGATCCACTCCTAATTTTGCGAAAAGTACCCATATCCAAAATGGGAGTCTTGCTGAATTTTGCCTTGGTTTCGAGTGGCCCAGTGGAGGGACGCAAAATACCATACTTAGTGGTGTTTCCAAGTGCCAAAGTAGCATACATAACCAGCAACTTATCCGTAACACGCAACGGTAGAAGCTTCATTAGCGACATCGCAACTGCAAATGTAGATCTCCCAAACATTTCCCGAGGAAGTATGTGCATCTGAAACCACGACAGGTGATCAAAATCAAGGTAAATATTTGGAGATTTTTCTCCGAAAGATGTGAACAATGCATGCATGCATGGAAAGGACACAGAGAGCGAGAGAGAAGAGAGCTTACCGGGCTGCGAACGACGATGGAGGGCTGTGCGCCATGGTTGAGAAGATCCAGCGCAATCTCCATGCCCGAATTGCCACACCCCACCACCAAAACGCGCTGGCCCTTGAAAGGCTTGCCATTGCGGTACTGGCTCGAGTGGAGCACCGTGCCTTGGAAACGATCCAGCCCGGGGCGCAAATCCTCCGGAATCCTCTCCGCGCCGTTCTCCCCGGTGGCCACCACCAGCCATCGGCTCCTAAACTCCTCCCTCACGCCTCTCCTCTTGTCCACGGTCTCCACTCGCCAGAGCGATCGATCGCCGCTCTGCTCGCGAGTGGCCGCCACCACGCAGCGATCGAACAGGGGCTGGATCTCAAAGTGGCGCGCGTAATCGTGGAGGTAGTCGATGAATTGGTTCTTGGTGGGGTACTGCGGGACGTCGCGCGCGAACGAGAGCAGGGGAAGCTCGCAGTACTGCTTGGCGATGTGGAGGTGGAGGCGATCGTAGGTGCGCTGCTGCCACAGCGACGCGATGCAATTGGCCTTGTCCAGGACAATGCTGGGCACGCCGCGATCCTTGAGGCATGCCGCCACCGCCAGCCCCGCCGGCCCGGCCCCGACGATGATGGCTCCCTCGACCCACGAAGAAGAATCGACGATCGATGGCGAATTGGCGCTCGGAAGAGGAGGAGGAGGAGAAGGAGCATGAGGAGATGGGGAGGAGGAGCTGGAGCCGCTCCGCCCGCCAAGATCACTGTCGCTGCTGCTGTCGCTGGTGTCGCTGATCATCCAGGCTTGCTCCATCGCCTCGATTCCCTCAATCATGGTGGAAAGGAGCGTACGAAAAGGCCAAGAGAGCTGAGGAGCAAGAGGAAGGAGAAGAAGGCGAGGAGCTCTCCCTTGCTCCGCTACTATAGTGTTTATACTAGTAGGACAAAGAAAATGGGACAAGCAATGCTTTTAGAAAATGGAAGCCTCTCCCAAGCAATAGAGCCTCCCTCCCTTCCTCCTTGGCCTGCTAAGATTATATAAAGCTTAAGAGATATCCACAATCATCGCTAATATAATGGGAGGCTCACATTTCCCAGAGGCCTTCCATTTGGGGACTGGGAGATGTCGCCACTTGGCAAGCAGTGTGTCCTCTCTCTCTCTCTCTCTCTCTCTCTCTTCCTTCTCACAATAGTTCTTAGATTACTTTTGTCTAGAGCATGAGAATCACGCCGCGCAATTGGCTCTCTCATCGTCATCTCCATCTTCTTTAGTTTTCTCTGCGCGATTCTTCTTCTTGTCTACCGAGCGCTGAACAGGATCGTCACTGCGGGGGACGCCAAACACCCAGTCCAGCACGTTGAGGTACTTTGATCGGAAGACGTCGCGCTCCCGCGCGTAGCAGTGCATGATGATCGACGTCGCGAAGCTGAAGAGCACCACGTCGGTGCGCTTTGGGAGGCGGTGGTGGTGTGGCTGGAACGCGGCGGAGCTCGTGATGCACAGGCCCAGGCTCTCCAGCGCGCGGGAGAAGCAGTAGAGGGCGATCTCCATCCTGCGGCTCTTCTTCTCGATCGTGAGTGCCAAGCCGGTCGGGAACTGGACAAAGTGGAATCTGCTTAGAACGAAAAATAAAAAGCTGGATTTTTTCTTACAGTTCCCAAGGCCAGAGTTGCAGGGTTGCATCCGTTGAGCAGTCGAAACAAAAGACAAGTCCAGCCCCTACACAGAGTTTCAAGCATCAATTTCCGAATGAACAGATCCTAGCTTACCAGGCTGATGCACAATACGTTGCGAGGAATAAGCTGGATCTAGCTGTTCCCAATAGCGACTTTGTTAGAATTGTAAAAGGCCTGAAATCACCATGACAAAAGACGATGCTTTGTAGCAACCGAATTGCAAGTGTGTGGTACCTTTTGAGAAGACCCTGTCGATGTACTACGACAGCGGGGCCGAGGTACACCGGCAAGTAGACCATTAGCGATCTCACATACGCGTCTCCTATGAATTGCAGAAAATGAATTAGACAAAGCTGATTGGCATGAATCATCTGCATAAAGAATTGACAAATCAAGCTACAAAACAAAGAGTGGTACTACATGACTTACAGTGCAGGGTACTTTCATCGTCGGGTCGAGCTGAATCTCAGTCCCGTTGTCTCTGTAGTGCTCCTGGATTTTCGCTAAGCTCGTCAGTGGCTCCCGGAGCGCCAGCTCCCGAATGCCTCGGACTACTGACATGTCCTTGCCACCGTGCTTGTTTAGGAATGAAACATAAGACGATGGAAGTGTGTCCGGCTTGAGAATCCACGCGGACCTGTCCGGAAGCCAAAACCGGTTTTAGCAAATAGCAAAGCCAGCAAAGAAATCAAAACAAAGACAAAGAACCTTACAAGATCTGTGATGATGACAAGCACATAAGCAGCACATCACCGTGCTTCCAAGAGACGGGACTAAACAGCCACCCAACCTTCTTGCTCTTGACACCGCACCGAGCAGCAAGTACAGCTGCTCGCATGAGAATGTAAAGCGCCATGCTTGTATGACGAGTTTTGGGCCCCGTCAAGAGCAAGGAGGGGCCGGCAATGGCGCCGGCAACAAGCGATCGCCACCTCGCAGACCTGATAGATAGAAGAACTCGCAAAACTAAGTCACAAAATTTGAAAGAGCGGTCCACACATACCTTCCAAATCCTACCAAGGAAGCAACGAGCTCGTCCACGCTTGTGTAGACACCAGCGAAGGCGCCCACAAAGAATCCATACCGCAATGTCTCCTTCAAGGCATTGCGAACCAAATGCTTGTCAGCGATCCTCCCTCCACTTGATCTAGAAAAGGCCGAAAACAAGAACGCTAAGAAGCGAAATTCGCGTGGCTAGACACGCGCAAGACAGACCTGAGGAGCAAGGACGCCTTCCTGAGCCGCGCCATCACGGCAAAAATCACCAATCCACCACGCAATCCAGCTCCAATCGCGAATCCCTTGCCAGCGGCCGCAATGCACCGATCCAGCGCTTGCAAGAAGCTGTCCTCGCCGCCGCAGCCGCTGTCCTTGAGGCCGCCAGGCAGAGGCGCCTCGGCCATGGCCAGGAAGGTTGGAATGGAACCCTAGAATGGACGCTTCTCCTTTCGTCCATGAAAACCACGAAGTTTATTGGGCACCATGACCCAAAATCACCATAATGCGTCGCCTTCCACACCCTCTTTGTTTTATTCCTAGAACTTCTTTCTAGATGGTGGATGAATCGCACAGATTGTCTGTGCTTGATAGAATCTTCTGCCACTTTCGCTGCCGCTCAAAATGCCCACACACGCGCCGCGCAAACAATCCGCCACGACGACGTTTACGCCCACAACAAGCTCATCGAGATGTACGGACGGTGTGGGAGCGTACGGGACGCGCTCGCCGTGTTCCACGCGATGCCCCGTATCGACATTTACTCGTGGGTTTTGCTCCTCAATACATATGCCCACAACGGGCATCTTGGAGCTGCGAAGTTGGTGTTTGATTCTATGCAATACCAAAACCTGGTGTCATTCAATGCAATACTGGCAGCGTATTCCCAGCTTGGTGTAACCTCACAGGTGCAAGCTTTCTATGATCGAATGCCTGAAAGGAATCTGGTCTCTTGGAACACTATGCTTGCAGCATATGCCCAAAGCGGGCATCTTGTTTTGGCGACTGATTTGTTTCTCGCGATGGAGGAGAGGAACATTGTTTCGTGGACGGCGCTTCTTTCGGCGTACGTTCAGTGCAAGGATCTTATCCAGGCCGCCCATGTCTACCATTCCATGCCCGAGTGGAACCTTGTGTCGTGGAACACGATGCTTGCCGGGCATTGCCAGCTCGGGGATCTCGGCTGCGCGAAAGGGTTGTTTGATTCCATGCCGGAGCGAGATTCCGTGTCGTGCACGACCATTCTGGCGGCGTACTCGCTGGTGGGAGCTTTCGGCGGCGCCAGGGAGGTGTTTGAGTCGATGCCGGTGGGGATGAGGGACCTCGTAGCGCACAATGCGATGCTGGATGCCTACGCTAGGAGTGGGGATTTGTGCCGGGCGGAGGCTCTGTTTGATCAGATGAAGGACGTGAGCTCTGTTTCATGCACGATCATGCTCTGCGCGTATGCCCAGAACGGTCATTACAAAGTCGCGAAGGAGGTGTTCGAAAGCCTCCGAGAGAAGGATCTCTTCTCAAACACAGCAATGATCTTTGCTCTTGCTGAGAATTCCAGCCTTGAAGAGGCAAAGTTTTTGTTTGACACAATGCCTGAGCACGACGAGATCTCGTGGATGACGCTCCTTGCAGCATATGCCCAAAACGGGCACACCGCATTTGCAACAAATCTCCTTAAAGCTCATCAACTTTCTAGCCCAGGCTGCTGGAATGCAGTCTTATCCGGGCATGCAACTTACGGCCATACGTCAGAAGCAAAGCCATTCTTCGATAACTTCCCGCAAAAAGACCTTGTCTCGTGGAACTCTATCGTTTGTGCATATGCCTTCTCTGGACATGTTGCAAAGGCCTTGAAACTCTTTCAAGAGATGCCCGAGCAGGACTTGGTGTCCTGGAACTTGATCCTTGCAGCCTACGCACACAACGGAAAACCACTCCAAGCAACGAAGGCTTTCCACCAGATGGAGCTCCTGTACACTCCAGACGAGGTGTCCCTGACGAGCATCCTCCGAGCGAGCAGCCACGCGGGCGATGTCCGAAAGGGGCGACGAGTGTTCCTGTCCCTGACCACGGATTTCGGGCTGGGGAATCTCACCAAGCAGCACTACTGCTGCATGATCGAGCTCCTGGGACGCGCAGGATACGTGAGAGATGCATGGGATCTCATCTCGGCAATGCCTTACGAGCCGGATGCTTTCGACTGGGTGTGCCTGCTTGCCGCTTGTCGTGGTCACCGAGATGTTGGACGCGGAGTGCGGGTGGCCGCGCGCCTATTCGAGCTGGATCGTAGGAATTCGAGGGTTTATGTCATGCTAGCCAATTTGTACAGTGTCTTCTATCTAAAATAACCTCGTCTAGGTAGCAGGCGACGGTGCAAGGTGTTTAAAAGTCGATCGCTGTTGCGGTGAGCTAAAACACCATCTCTCTCTAAACAAAAAGTTCGAGATTTTTTCAGAAAACACTGAAAAAGGTACACATTTAGAATAGAACTTTTTAATAAAGGTTAAAAAAATTAGGGTCTCGAGAACCATTTTAGGGTTTAAGATGTCGAAGGCTATGCTCAAGGCTCTCAAGCAGGAGAAAGCCAACCAGGACACCAAGCGTTACTGGTACGCTCGCAACAGATGCTACGACAGATCCGCAGACGACGACAGGCGCGAGCTCTCTCTGGCGCTCTCGTCCGTGCCCAAGGTAGAGTGGTCCTACTTCGACGTGAAACTCCGGCAACATCAGGAGGAGGATGATCGATTCTGTCCGCTGCTGGATGGCCGATCATGGACACCATCCGGCCGGGCCTTGATCCTCCTCTTGGAAGACACCCTGACGAGCAGTGTCGAGCTCCCGGATGGCTGCATTCTCGTGTCGAAACGACCGGGCCTGGATGATTTCCTGCGAGACATGGCCAAGCAGTACGAGCTCGTCCTGTGCACTGCGCTCCAGCAGGATCACGCACGGCGAGTTGTCAAGCAGGCACTGCAGTGCGAGCTCTCTTCTGGATGGTTCCAGCTCCAGAACCATGGGACGATCCAAGCAAGCGACTCGCTTGCTAGACTGTGTAGTGATGCTACCTTCCAGGCGCTGGCTGTGACAGCAACGAGCTCTACAACCGCTGGCGACTCAGATCACGTCATTGTGGTGCCGAAGTATCTCCCGGACGCCCGGCATAGCGACGATGGTCGACTCAAGCTCCTTGCTCAGGTGCTGCTCGACTTGGCCAAGCTTTCGAGCGACGACTGGCTATGGGGGTTGAGGCACCTCAAGGTGCAAGGTGTCTTCCGGAGCATCCGCAACGGCGAGCAGCAACAGAGATACAATCTCAATCTCGGGCTGGGAAGCAGCATGAGCACGGCGAGCCACAACCTGGCATTGCGAGTCGCGCTTGGCAAACCCATCACTCCACTCCCCGCGGGTGATGGGGCGTATCTCCCCCCGGCCCCGGACTCTGGGAGGCCGACGCTGGTGCTAGATCTGGACGAGACGCTGGTGAGCAGCTACCGGGTATCGTCGAGTGAGGACGCCACACTGCACAGGGTGGCCAAGCGCCCGGGGGTGGAGGAGTTCCTGGCGAGCATGGCGAACAAGTGTGAGTTGGTGTTGTGGACGGCGTCGTGGCAGGCTTACGCGGATGCGGTGGTGGACGAGGTGCTGGATCCCGCAGGGAGTGGCATCTTCTCGCACCGGCTGTACGCGCAGCACCTGGTGAGCGACTCCAAGGATCTGAGTAAGCTGGGGCGGAGGCTGGAGAGAGTGATCGCCGTGGACGATTCGGAGTGGCGTTACCCGGCATCGATGAGGCAGAACCTTCTCGTGGTTCCAGCTTACATGGGTGGTCACGGCCAGGAGGACGAGGAGCACCACCTCCAGAGAGTTGCAGCATTGATCACGCGTCTTGTTTCCTCGGGTGCAAGCGATTTGAGGCGGTCTCTTGCATGAAATAAAGGTGGTAGAAAATGGTACTCTATGCCAAGGGGCAAAAGAAGTCCTTTATGCCTTTAACTTTTATATTTCTTTCATCAAGAATATAAAATTATCTTGTTTCTGTTGCAGCTCGAAACAGTGTTAAATTGTCTTATGAACTGGTGTGTCAAATAGGTGAGGAGAAAGCTATTATCAGCCATGTTAAGAGCAAGCCTTAGAGAAAAGGCTATTGTTGTAAGTGCTTACCCAGTCCCTCTCAAATCAAAACTTGTAGCAGTCCTATTGTTTCCATAAGATCCAGCTTGAGATTCATGAATGTTTTCTTCAAAGCATACATGAATAGGGAGGAGAAATATATCTGGCCCTTCGCATTCGAGCAAGGAACCATAAGAGGTGACCAAAGAGACCAAAGAACTACAATTGCAACCTTGAACTTTGATCTAGTAACATGGTTCAACTACTCGTGGTTGAATATGGCTGAGTATCTTATGATTGAGCTTCATGGAAACCTTTGTGAAGGAGTTTGACATGGAAGTAATCTTGGATATATTGTCTATGTCTTGCCAGTGAAGCACAACAAGGGCATGGGCTTTTGTTGGACATCCACGATGTCACACTCTATGGTAAGGTTGAGTAGCACCTTGTACTCCTCAAGGGTTTGTTCAGATCTACTTTAAGGCTATAAGACTGTTTTGAGATGCTACCACGAGAAAAAAAGCTTCAAAGTTGCACAGACATACCTCTAATAAGTAAAATTCATTTTCCTTCAACAATGGAATGATCTTGAAAAAGAGTACATGAATTTTGTGATACAAGCTGACCTAACAACTCATTCTGAGTGTTTGCCAGCTGGTTGGAAGGCCAGAATGGTAGACCCAATTGCAGGAACGTATTATATAAAGGTTCTAACATGCTAGGTTGTGCTCAAATTGGCTTCAATGCTATTAAACTTTTTTGAGCACATACCTCTCATATTTCTAGACTGCTACTATATATGAAAATGACTTCGTATTTGCTATGCAATGAGAGACTATATAAAGTTGATGCATAGCATGGGTGTAGATTTTCCAAGGCTCAAGCTTATAATGGCCTGCGGAAAAAAATTTGATTCATACAAAAGCACATTAAAACATAAAAATAAACTTGCAATCAATGTGCCAGTAAAGTATCAGGTGGGTTATGGAGTATGACCACTTTAATATGCATGTATCACCATTTATGCATCAATAACATGGAGTACCTTTCTAATATTTTCTTGTCCAGCTCAAAAACTTGTTTTAAATAGCATTGACATGGCCCTCCACACCCCTAACCAGCTTCATCAAGAGGGAGTACACCCATACCATCTTCTGGAATGTGTCTGTGTAAAATATACCCCTCCAATCACTCCCTTCTAGAACCTGATAAAGCTTTGCCCATGGCCATCCAAGACTTAAAACAACCACTTGCATGGTTTTGTACTGTAGCATCTCGGAAGAAATGTAATCAACAAAGTCTGTTAAATTTAAATCAAAAGCTTGCTAAATGATTTCAACAACACACACCATATGAATGAAATTTCCTTGCCATTTGTTTTATCAATGAAACAAGATAGCAAACAAACTTACACTCTACAGAAAAATGGGATCTCATAAACTCACCTAAGCATTGAGAGTTGGCCTCATGCCACCACCTAGCCACATCATCTCCTCCAGTTGCTAATGAAAACCTTGTCTTTGCCCAGGAACACCTCTAGCTCTAGCTTCCAGCTAATGTTTCTAACTCTATTGTTACTTGTAATATATGTGATCATGGGATGAAATTTAAATGTATTATCATCGTAGATCTTTGGAACCTTAGGGATAAAATAACCACTAAAAGTTCTTTCATTAAGCAATTGGCCCTTTTCAAAGGGGAAAAAGATAGAGTGCATTACACTACCACAACTCTTCAGTTAACACCTTTAACTTCACAAACCACCCTCTAACCAATCCTTCTAATTTCAGTAGTTGCTATAAACATAACTCAAGCCACAAACCAAGCAGCCAGTGCTTCCAATTGCTCTCCTCCAGCTATTGTGCCCTTCCCTCCAATTGCCAATACCATTATTAATATAGTAGTATATAGTTATGTATGCATGGACATACATTGAAATGTCAACTATAAAATGGCTGCAACTAGCACCACCTATAGGTTGATTGGGATGCCATGTCAAATATGGTCTCAAAATGAGCCAATGGCAAATCCCCACTTCCTCAAGCATAAGCAATTTTGCATAATTGACTATGGTCCTCTTAAACATTTTATTGAAGACATTTCTAGGTTTTGATTACCGTCATCCACAACATTGTCTTGCAAGAATACAATGACATATAGCTTATGCCTTAAAATTAGGTCAGGCAAATTTAGATCCAGATTGCCATTCTGGGAGAATTCTACAAGCATACACCTTGGAAATAAAGGAGAAAATCATTTCTCTATCTACTCTTTTTTTATTTTTTGTCTATCTCCTAGCAAAGCTCTAAGGATCCAAAGTGTAATTTATTCCTCTAGAATTCTTGATGGATTGATATTGGGAGCTGGGGAAGATGAGGAGACTAGAGGCATCACAGTTGCAAACAAAGCATTTACAAAAAAATCTTTTAGAAGTATGACAAGAAATAGTGGTAGACTATCTAGATCCCTTTTTTTCTTCTGGAATTGGAAAGGGCATTCATGTAGCTCAAAACATTATACAATTTAGATTAGCTAAATCCCAATCCATATTATTATGCCTTAAAAATCAAATGATCAAGCCTCTCTTTACATGTAAACTAACACATTCTTTATCACACATTACAAAAATTTCACTTAAAAGTAACATCCCTTTTGGTCTTGTCTCTCATTCTCTAGTGTTTATTTTTGCTCTCATTTTTGCTTTCATTTCATAGTTCTCATTTTTCTATAGTCTCTTTTATCTAGTTTATTCTTTATTGTTATGGCAACAATAAAGCTGAGGCAAAATCTACCTTTGTTATTATGCTCTTTTAAAACATTTTTTTAAATTAGTTTCCTCTTGTATAATCTTTGATTACAAAGAAAAAGTGTAGGGTATGATTTCGAGCTCAATTTCACTCCTATGACCAATTTTTGTGAAAAAGGAATAACAACTCTTTGAAGCCTTTAAAAGATATACTAAGGTTAGTATAACAATTTAGGCATTGATGAAAATTCTATTTTAACTTTGTATTTTTCATCCAAAGTGATTACATACAAATTGGATCTAATTTAACAAAGTCACAAAACTTGGGAATTGACACATGGTTCCTGCTTAGGGTGCTAAGAAATTTATCAATTGTGTCTTGGATCATGGAAGTCATTTGATCCAAATGGGAGTAAGTGATATGCAGTGGCAGGATAAGAGAAAAATGATGAGATACTGAAATGCAGTCCTTGTTTTTGGATTCACAGGTACACATCCTCAGCAGTTTTTCCTTGAGTGGTTGCTACTTTCGTTGGTGGAAATATAAGGCATTCCTTTCTTAAGCGTTGTGCTATTTGAAAAAACACAGCACATCATCGCCGTCGATCAAACACCATCTTAGCCATGTAGTTAAATTTGTTAGAAGAAACTAGGGTTTATTTTCTTGAGGTGAAAACAAAGCTTGTAAGAGCGATAAGGGTGGTTAGTGAGTTTAGAGAGGAAGATTGCAAAAAACTTCTCAGCATTCATATGTTAAGGCAGCGAGGTTTTGAGAAAGGTAGGACGCTAGGGTGTGGCAGCCAGGGGCGCTCCAGAATCTGGACGGTCACAAGTCATATGCAGCCAAGGCATTTCGATCAGGGAGCGACGCTGAGAGAGAAGTTGGGATCATGGCCAAGCTCCGGGGCTGCCCTGGAGTTGTCTCCTTCAGAGATTTCATCAAGGAGAGAGATGGAGGACAGTGTTTTGGGAGTATTATTATGGAACTATGTGGATCTAGTCTTGCTGATTGCTTGCGCGTTTCCGGGCGGATGAGCGAAGAAGAAGCAGCTCAGATTGTCAAGCAGCTGGCAGAGACTCTCAAAGAGATGCATTCGAGAGGCATAATTCACCGGGATCTCAAGCCGGGCAACATCCTTTTCAAGCTAGACGCGCGCGACAAAGTGGTGATTAGTGACTTTGGTATTGCCACAGACGACCCTGAGGAGATGTTGCAGTACTGTGGCACGGCAAAGTACATGGCACCCGAGGTGGCAGAGAACAAGGATGGGAGCTTCTACACAGCAGCTATCGACGTGTGGGGGCTTGGAGCAATTTTATACGAGATGCTGGGAAAGGGAGGATATCAGCCGAGTGAAGCATTTGATTGTGTGCGACAGGGGGCATCCCCGGTTGGTCCTTTCTCGTTTGTAGCGGAGGATCTCCTTGACAAGATGCTGGCTGTGGATCCGAAACAAAGGCTGACAGTCGATCAGGTTCTACAACACCCTTGCAGAAGCAGCAGCAGTAAGATCTACAGGACGTGGAGGAGGCCCTGTGGTGCGAAAAGGAGTGCTCCTGGCCTCGACAAGGACTTGGTCGTGAAGAAAGTTCGAGCGGTTTAAAAGTGGCAGCAGTCAGTCCGGTAAGCACACTTGCCATTTCCTATTTCTCGTATTCGCAGTTACTAACTTCATTTGCTTGGGTTCGTTTTTGTATCCTCCGGACATCATCGACATCTCTCGTGTCTCTGTCTGGAAAAACTTTTTTGGTGGCTGCCGAGAACAATCGTGGAACAAAAACGAGATCCAAGCAAATGCCGAGATAGATGCAAACGTGTTACACACAAAGCTATGCCGCTCTTCTTTAAGAAACAAGGGAAGTCTTCCCTCAAGAAAGAATTAAAAAAAGTCTATCCATATATAAATCGAGAATGGCTATTGATCACTGCTAATCTAACAATTTCTTGAAATCATTGGGGAACTTCATATCTTGAGATCAGTCGGGAAGGAAGAGTCCGCTTGATCCATGCTTTTGCATACGACTGGCAGGACACCACATCGCGCTGGGGAATTCGATCGACGGCTGCTCTCGCGAGGAAGATCTGGCTGGTTTGCGAGTAGGCCGTGCATGACACGAAGTCGTGCTCGCTCGATTGAAGCGCTCCTTGGCTTCGTCAACCAGGAGATTGTCCGCGAACGCCTGGATCATCACGTTCCACCAGACGATGTTCAAGGCCGGCAGCTCCTCCAAACGCCCGCTCATGTCCATGACACCACCTCTCGCTGGGGCATCGAATCGAAGACCTTCTTGGCCAGTGCTTTCCTCGCTTTGGGCGCATCCATCGAAGATCGCGTTGCAGGAGATGCAGTTCCTAGCGGGCATCCGTAAGAACATCGCCTGCGCTACCTGGAGATTCCCATTCTGGGCATATGCGGTGATCATCGCGTTCCAGGCGACGAGATCTCTCTCGGCATCGCCAAGAACATCGCTTTGGCGTCCTCGGCCTTGCCACGCTTCGCCAGCGCCACAAGGATTGCCGTGGTTGTGACGACGGTCCAGCGCGGGAGGAGATCGAAGACGCGCCTTGCGTGCTCAAGATCCCCGATCTTGACAAATGCGCCGATGAGGCAACTCCACGCCACGGAATCTCTGCCGCCGGGGATGCGATCGAAGAGATTCTTGGCGTCCCAGGGCCTGCCGTTGTGCGCGTAGACGGTGAGCATCGTGATCCAGGAGAACCTGTTCTTGCTGTGATCGTCCATGCCGTCGAAGATCTCCCGCGCCTCGCCGACGCTGCCGCATTCGCATACACTAGCCCAAAATCCTCTTACCTCCTAGCTAGGGTTCTTCATTTTTAACGTTAGGCTATGGGGGAAAATTGGCGCCCACCGTCGAGGGACGAATTCCGGGAGATGGCAGCTCGAAACATTCCCGAGGTAACCCAAGACGCGTCGAATTGCTGGAGCTTCTGGCAGGTTTTTCCAGGGATTCTGCGGCAATGGCCCGCATTTGAGCGGTGGAATCCAGCCACTGGCGGTGTCGAACATCTTAAGGTGAGGACTTTCGTGTTCTAGAGCAGGGATTAGACCTCTTCTCAAGGAAATCGCAGGAGAACCTCTAGTGCAAGCAATGGTGAGCACCGATGGTTCTACGGTGATATTAGAAGCCATGAAAGAGTTTGTATTATTTCTTTGATTCCTTGTCTTTTGTTCTTAAACTTGTTCTTCCTTAGGTGGCGTTGCCTTTCAGAGAATATCTAGACATGGTTTTGTCACCTGGAGAGCACAACGATCAGTTTTATCTGGCACAGGTTAGGATTTAAGCTTGTTGTTCGTGTTGCCGATATTAAGGATATCACTGCAGGTTCCTATACGCGTGAAAGACTCAACGGAGAAACCTCCGCTCGCTTCTCTGGAATCCGAAATCTCCGTGGTATCATATTTTCTTCGTCTACTTTTTTCTGTGTTTTTGTGACACTTATCGTGCTCAGCCAGAGTTCCTGGACGAGGATGCGGTCTCAAACATCAACCTTTGGATGAGTTCGACGTCTTCTCGGTCAAGCATACATTATGATCCATACCGCAATGTGCTTGGAGTCGTGATGGGTCAGAAGAAAGGTAGAGCTTTTTCATGCGTGGCATGTTTCAGTGTTGTATTTGTTGCAGTTACTCTGTGGCCTCCTGATGCGGCGCCATACCTGTACCCCAAGCCACTGTATGGAGAAGCTTCGAACCATAGGTATTTGTTTTTATAGAAAAAGATACACTTCTTTTATTCCTGTTTCTATTCAGCGAGGTGAACTTTGTTGAACCAGACTACCAGAAATATCCACGCTTTAGAGATGCATCAAAACACAGTCTGGTTCTGGTAGTCGATGCTGGCAGTGCAGTTTTTATACCAGAGGCTTGGTTCCACCAAGTGGACAGTGCTGCTCTAACCATTGCCGTAAACTTTTGGTGGGCGTCTAAACAATCTTACGCATTCGACACGCCCATGGATTCATATTACTTGCGGAGGATTTTAATGAGGTAAGCAAATGTTGCTCTTGAGTTTTTCACAGCTTCTTTCGTTTTCCAGTCTTTTGGACGCCGAAAAGGTCAACAAGCAACAATTGTCGATGCAATTTACTTATATTGTTCTACAGAGATCGATGCTCGGATGGAATCCTCACGTGGATGTAGAAGGTGATCTTGATGACGTGCAAGGAGTAGAAGATCTTACCGTGAACAGCTTGAGTTCACTAGAAACAAAACAACTTCACGTCATACTATCCTGCGTAGCGGTCGCAGTGAACAATGGCAATTGTGAGGACGATCCTGTCGCAAATGTGTTTCTAAATACGAGCCCTCGAAGCCTTCGTCGAATCTTTCTTACGATGGTGGTAAGTGCGAGGCACTGTATGCTATGATTGTCGCTAACAAGTTGTGCATTTGCAGACTACATTTCCTCGTTCACTAGAAGCACTCGTATTGCATGCTCTCAGTCCTGTCGCTGCAGAACTTTTGACAAAACAGTTTGAAGAGATGGACTCGATTGCTTCTGAAGCATCACAGTAAGGAACTTGTAGGATGCTGTTGATTTTACGTTGTTATGGCTTTGGTTTTGACAGAGGAGAGTTCTACAAGCACTTTTACAGTGTTTTTGACGACTCCAGTGTCGCAATGGCTGCGCTCCTCGATAGGAAGGAAGCGTTCGCATCAAAGGTAAAGATTCTGAAGCTATTTCGCTGCTGTTAAACGGTGCTTTTGTCTCAGGCTTTGGACAGTGTCATGGAGAAATTTCTGGGATATAAGCTTCACTGACGGTGAGCTTTTGTAAATCAATTTTGAAACAAGGCGCTTCTCAGGTATCCTTTCGAGTACATTTTATCGAATCGGGTCTCCTTTGGATGCAGATAAAAGCAGCTAGTGTGTATTTAAATGTTAAAGCTAACTGGCCCTAGACAGTCGTGATGGGTTCGTTAGCAACTTCACTTGGGATAGTGCTGCTGTCCCTAGCCGTAGCAGCTCTTCTATCTTGGAAACGAATTCCAGGAGCACCGGCTGATTTTGTCATCACGAACTGCAGTATCTGGACTGCAGACAAGGATGTTCCATGGGCAGAATCCATGGCTGTGAGACGGGGAAGAATCCTTACGCGTGGGCTGTCAAGATAAGCGTTTGTTTTCCTCGGTATCTCTATTCACGAATTTTCATGCTTGTAGGACGTTGCCTGTTCTGATACCGAATTCCGTGATCTCGAGGGGCAGTTTGTGGTGCCTGGTTTCATTGATTCTCATGTTCACTTTATTCCTGGGGGCCTGCAGGTATGTTAAGTTTAAACAATAAGGGAAACTAACGTCTTACCTGCAGCTACTAAGATTGGATCCTCAACACACACATCTAGAGTTCACACAAAAAGTTCAACATGCTGCTCATGGTGCTCTTGAATTTGTTTTCTTCTTGAGTGTATAGTATTCATCGCTTCTTTTGAAGGGCTCGAGCCAAATGAGTGGCTTCAAGGATTTGGATGGAGCAACGAACACTGGGGAGGTGAGTGGCCAGATTCATCCTGGATTGATAGTGTCACCGAAAACAATCCGGTGAGTTTTTGTTGTAGTTTTGAGGTTATAAAAACCTGACGTTCATAGTATCACACAGGTGTGGCTCAGCAGGATGGACGGTCACATGGGCCTTGTAAATAAAGTTGTCATGGAGATTTGTGATTTGAAGAGCGTTAAAGACGATCCAGTTGGTGGGAGCATTGTGAGAGATGAAGATGGTGATCAGTTTTTATTCTCCTATCTGAATTATAGAGAAGTTGGTTCTAACATCCTTCTTTGTAGTTCCAACTGGTTTACTCGTTGATGCTGCTATGATATTGTTAACTTCTTGTCTTCCTAAACCGTCATTGGAGCGGCTCTGGCAAGAGCAAGCCAGTATGCTGTCTCTAAAGGCGTCACCTCAGTAGTTGACTTCGGATCATACTTTCCTGGTGGATCAATCAAAGATTCATGGAACGATGTTGAAGGTAATTCCATTTTAAACATCATGTTCCTCGTCTAAATTCTTTCTCTAGAGGTATACACATGGATGGACTCACTCGGGAATATGACTGTGAGGTCTGCACTTTTCTTCCCACTCGAGACTTGGCCGCGAGTCGCTGTAAGTTCTGATTGTCATTTTACTATACGATACTTGAATTTTTTCTTCAGGCTCTGATAAAAGAGAGAGGACGGCATATAAGCGACTGGTTCACATTGATGGGGTCAAAGCTTTTGCCGATGGATCGCTGGGCTCGGGAACAGCTCTTTTTCACCAGGTGTCACGTAAATATTAAGTAGCTTTTCTGAGGTATTCAAATTTATCGATCCAAACAATTTTGGCCTCCGTGTGGCCGATCTGAGTTGGCTTTCCGAGTCCGTGAGTGCTGCTTTTGAGTCGAAATTACAGGTACTTAGATGATCTTTGATCCGATGCTTAATCATGAACTTCAGGTAGCAGTACATGCGATTGGCGATGCAGCAAACGATGATGTACTGGAATTTACACTGACGCTATTTCTAAACATCCTCGTCAAGGACATCGATTGAGAGTAACGATGAACAAATCTACGTTTGTATCACTGAACTCGTGGGATTGCAGGTAGAGCATGCACAGCACCTTTCACCTGGAGCGCACCTCAAATTTGGGAAGTTCTCCATATCTGCATCGATGCAAGTAAGCAGATGAATGCATGCTGCCTCCATTACCCTGGATTTTTGCACAGCCAGAGCAACTTCTAGATGATGCTTACTACGCCGTGAAGGAACTTGGTGAGAAGCGCTCACGCGGATCTTATAACCTCTGCTCCCTCCTCAGAAGCGTGGTTGCTTTAGGATCCGACTGGCCTGTATGTCTGTCAGATAGTTTTTCTTCGGCGTTACGTGAATGGTTCGTCTCAAGGTGGTAGCAGTGAATCCACTTGGAGTGGTCCGTGCAGCCGTGGAGAGAACACCTGCAGGCTGGAGTCATCCCTGGATTCCCGAGGAAAGGATTTACAGGTACACATCCTTGGCTGCGTATGCAGCTGCATTGGAGGATTTGGTTGGGTCACTGACGCCAGGAAAGTTTGCCGACTTTGTGGTGTTGTCAGAGTCTCCTTTTGCACAGGGCACGGGCAATTTTTCTCGAGTGGTTGCTACGTTCGTTGGTGGAAATATTGCCTTCCTTTCAAGGCGTTATGCCAAACTCGGTAAATTATTTCGTTAATTATATTTGCGAGAAGATGGGTGAGGAGAAAGCAGCCAGAATCATCAAGCAGTTGGTAAAGACCCTCAAAGAGATGCATTTGAGGGGCGTGGTTCATTAGGATCTCAAGCTTGACAACATTCTCTCCAAGCTAAACATGCGCGACAAAGTGGAGATCAACAACTTTGGCATTGCCACCTGAGGTGGAGAACAAGGATGGCAGTTTCTACATGGCAGCGGGGACTAGGAGCAATTTTATATGAGATGCTGGGAAAGGGAGGAGATCTCGTGTGATAAGGGGTGGTCCTTTCTCGTTTGTAGAGGAGGATCTCCTTTCTAAGATGCTGGCTGTGGATCTGAAATAGAGGTTGACGGTCGATCAGGTTCTGCAACAGCCAAGTTGGAGTGGTGTGAAAAGAAGTGCTCCTGGCCTGGTCATGAAGAAAGTTCAAGCGGCTTAAAAGTGAATGCCAGTAATAAACTAACTTGCTATTTCCTATTTCCTTTTCACAATTATTACTTTTCTTTTTCTTTTTTTGTATTTTCGAGATACCAATATCTTTCTAGAAAACATTTTTGGTGGCTGCCAACAACAACTGCAGAACTAAAACGAGCTAGAACGAAAAAGAGATGGATGTGTGTGTGAGAAGCCAAACAAATCCGCTCAGAGAAAGAAGCGTGCTAAAGTTCATTGAATGTTTCTAAGGAATTGTAAAACGTTTATTGATATATAAGCAAAGATCAAAGCTCAAGTTGAATCAAGAATGGCTGGTTGCCAACGTCCCATCTTTCGATAGACCCTGAGATTTTCTTGTCAATAGTTGCCCTAAACTATGAGCCCAGGATCTCTGCGAACAACGTCCATTTGATGGCGCTTTAGCATTGTGTTGACGACAAGTTGATCGTTCCCTTCGATCTCGGGAAAGATGATGGCCACTCCAGCCCACACAATTCCCATGGTTCCAGCGAATACCGGCTTGCCGCTTACGGATCCGCGCCAGCCATCTCCAATCGCTGCCAGCTCGAGATCACGAGATTCGAGCGCTGGAAGGAGAGCGAAATCTCTAGCGGGCACTTCCTCGATGCAATCCAGGCGGCTGTGGATAAGCAGCTGCTCGACGCTGGAGGATGCGATTGCAAGAAAGACCGCATTGCCCAGAAAACCATCGGGAATTGGAGGATTGAAACGTTTTCTCCCATTCACCGCGAAGCCTAGCCTCGTTCATGCGGTTGAAGAAGCGAGAGCTCGGTTCTGGCGCGGGTGATCGCGATCCAGAGGTGAGCCGCAGGTAGAGTCGCGGTGGTGTCGCTCTTTAGCAGCGACCGAATGCCGCTGCTCGTGAAGGAGAGGATTGCGCGCTCCACATTTCTGGGGTCGGGGAAGGGCGGAGGCTCAATCTGGTACTCCGCTGGAGTGGATTCCGGTGGAATTGCGTCAGGTTGCAGGAGCAGGGATCGTTCCAAGTGTGGCGGATTGACGCGATGCTCCTGGCCTGAGGAAATCAGCGCCCAGGCTTTCACGAAATCGGCCGTGGCAACTCCATCGGCTGCGCTGTGGTGGGTCGCTACCTGGGCCGCACAGGAACCGAGTGAGCTTGATCGAGACAAGAGGAAGTTCCGTGGTTTCTTGCGTTGGGAAGGCCTAGAGATTTGCTGGCGAGCGCTTCGAAGAACTCGATGCCGGAGTCGCAACACTGGATCTCGGGGGCCTGATTGGGAAGAAGCTTGTAGCGGCCGGCTAGCGGATAGAAGAGGGAGAGCGTCTTGGAGAGGGATAGCTTGAGCTGGTCGGAAGGGACGAATCGTAGAGGAAAGGCGTGTAGACCCGAGGAGCAATCTGGTCGAGGCAGCTGAGAAGTATGGACGTTCGTGGTAGTGGAGAGGAGTTCGCAGGCTTGATGAGATCTCGGACATTGGAAGCTACTTCCATTGGGATCTGGATTGGCTTGGATGGTGGTGGAAAAAAGATTTCAATGGAACTAAGGATGGAAGACGATCATCAGCTCTTTCTTATGCTTCCAGGAACTCGATTGGGACTTGGATTCTAGCTAGCGGAGCATTTCCAGTTGCTGTGGACGATGATGTCAATGCGTGGGTCAGATTGTGTGCAAAGTTGACTTCCAAATAAAACTGAAGTAACAAGTTGTGGAGAATTTGTTCATGCTTGTCCATGTACCTAAGCATTGATTTGAGTGAAACGGCATTGCTACTATAACATTAGATAACTGGTGAATCCAATCCAGCAAAATCCGACGTGAATCTTTGCTTGCTTAGCTCCCCAAAAAGTGAAAACAATATCGATTAATGATAAAAAAGGCAGCGACTGCTGGCAACGACTGCTCATATTGTATATATGAAGCTATATATATATGGGCTGTGGCAACTGCCTAATGCCACATCATCCTAGCTTCCTAGCTAAGCATCTACCTGAGCATCTAATTTCAACAATAGCTCCCCAAAAAGTGAAAACAATATCGATTAATTCATTCATTGCTAACAAGTTTCTTCCATCCATGGAAGCATTTCAATGGAGGAAAGTCAAGAGTATGGCGAACAGATCGGACAAGATCAGCATCACATCGTAAAGCTAGTAAACGTTTGGACTTTTCTCTTGTAAGGATAGGCAGACATGTGGAAACCTTCTACCTCTAACACTGATGTCCGAGGACGAATTCTCAACTCCTGCCAGAACTCCAGTTCCGGAAAGCAATCTTCGATAGAGTTCTAATTCTTTCTTTTTTTGTTATTTTTTTTATCGACTAAGCAGATGATCCCGAGCCTGGTCCTTCAAAAGAAGTGGAACTCGAGAGAGCTACTCATGAATTCATTGGAAAACATCAGTGTACATGTCCTCGTTCTTCTGGATCATACTTTAATTTCTCTTTTTGCTCGGTGACTCCAGGACTAATTTTGTTCCAAATCCTCTCCTAGAATTAATTGTTCCTTCTTTCTTGACACCTCTCCTCTTATAAACTCGTCTTAAGCAACAAACTTTTCGAAGGTAGGTCTGGGACACCATGGAACAACATGTAGCGCCTGCTGTTGAAGGCACGTGGAGTCATCGAACATATAATATATTATATTAAACGTTTAAGCAGTGCCTCCCATCTCTTACTGAAAAAAACTCCAAAAGTCCATAGTATGCATGAAACACCACCACCAACAATGGCAGCCAGAATCGTTTCATCACCATGTCCATCATCACTGTCTTCATCTGTGTGATCGCCATGGAAAGGATTATGCAAACCAGCACACTCTGCAAGGGGGAAGCCACAAAGGCCTGGGTTTCCTTCATAGCTGCTCACCGGGAATAATGCAAGCTGAGCACTCTGTGGAACCCTTCCGAGAAGCTTGTTGTTCGAGATGTTTAAGTATTTCAGGAAGGTGAGGTTGCCAAGCGAGTCCGGGATGTGTGATTCAAGCCAGTTCTGTGATAAATCTAGCCACTCCAGGTTCTTGAGGTTTCCAATTGTGGAAGGAATGGCCCCTGTAAGTAAGTTGTGTGCGAGATTTAGCACATTTAAGTCTTGCATGCCACCGAATTCCTCTGGGATTGTTCCAGTGAAGCTGTTGTGCGAGAGATCAATAGCCAAAGGACTGTTTACCAGATTATATATTGTTAAGTTGAAACCAGGAGGTGCCAGAAAGAACCATCTTCTGCATCTGGTTGCAAACGGAAGTTGCTCAAAGTCATCCAAGCGGATCCCTTGCAGTATGAAAACCTCCTCATAAGCTTTGCAGATGGATGCCTCTATGTTGATTGCAAACACCATCAGAAACGGGAAGGTTATTTCGGTTATTTCATCCTCTTCCACGACTGATGAGCGGCCGATCCAGCTTGGAATTTGTCCTGTCAACTGATTGTCGTTCACTAAAAGCAGGACTAGAACGTTGCTGTTCCTCAGCTCGCTTGGTAGGCCACCCTGAAGCTTGTTGTGACTCAGTAAAAGAGATCGAAGGCTCAGCATACTTCCAATAGATGCCGGGATTGCTCCAGATATCATGTTGTTGCTCAGAAACAGCAGGCTGAGTTTCTTCAGCCTAGATATTTGCTGAGGAATGACGCCTGTGATATTGTTAAAACTGAGATTTAGTGTCACCAGCTCACTACAGTTGCTGATTGTAGCGGGTATGCTGCCTTCAAGATTGTTCCCCCAAAGAAGAAGATGTTGAAGCTTCGGGAGTCTGCTGCACATATCCACTGGAATGGGCCCTGCTAGAGAATTGATGCTCATATCAAGCATTTCCAGATTACCACAGTTCATGGCTGAGTTCAGAACCCGACCATGCAACCTGTTATATATCAGCAGCAAAGACTTAAGTGAGGACCTTGCAGGGCAGATGCTTGGGTTGCCAGTGTTGAACAAGTTGCAGCTCAGGTCTAGAACCTTAAGACTTGGAGGAACTGTAGGGAGTTCACCTATAAAGTTGTTGTGGTCGGCTTGGAGAACTTGAAGAGACTTAAAAACCGTAGCTAAACTTCGATTGGCAAATACCGAGAGGAATGGTCCAGATAAGTGATTGTCTGATAGATTGAGCATCTTCAAAGCAGCACAATCCTTCCGAAAAACTGTCCCAGAAATGTTGTTAAACGAGAGATCCAGCTCCTCCAGACTAGGACAGTGGTCTATCTGAAATGTTGTGAAGAAGTTGGTAGACAGGTTGAGCTTCTGAAGACTGGTGGATGAACGTAGACCAGAAAGTTCCCCTGTCAGATTATTCGACGACAATGAAAGCTCTTGTAAGCTTCTGCAGTTTATAAACATATCTTCAGGCACCCCTCCAACCAGCTGATTGCTCGATATGTCTAGAAACCGCAAGCTCTTGCACGATGCGAAAAAGGAAGCAGGTATTGAGCCACTGATTCTGTTGTGAGATAAATCAACCGAAACCATAACATGCCCGATTGATCCCTTCAGCGAAATTTCTCTTAGCTTGTTGTGTGAGAGGTTCAAGTGCCTGATGCCTTTGCAAGTAACCAAAAGAATATCTAGAAAATGACTAGTGAAATCGTTGCTTGACAAATTGAGGAACTCCAAAGAGCATTTCTGCGGTGATATGTTGATCTCAGTGAAGTTGTTCCCCGAAGCAGACAAATTGCGTAGTTGAGGCAGGGCTTGGATTGTTGAAAGTGGAAAAAGGCCCGAAAGTGACAGAGAATCAATCTGTATGCCAGTGATCCGCCCTACTGAGGAACAACTTACACCAATCCAGTGGCAAACGTTTGTGCCCGCCTTCCAGTTATTCAGTGCCCCAAGAGGATCATCCACAGAAAGTTTAAAGCTTAAGAGTGCTTCAACCTCTGAATCTTCAGCACTTGCATGAAAAACAATTGTGACAGCAAGCAGGACAAGAGCAAGCAGCCTCCATGGATCCATTAGAATGCCTAGCAATATGCTTACAGTATATGTAAAAGTCCACCAATCTCAATTGGCCACATGATCGAACATGGAATCAGAAGAGAAGTCCAACCCAAATTCTACTAATAAATATTTGAACTTCATGGAGAGTTTGACTTTGCCTTGGTTGTCCCAGAGCTGAAAAAAATGTTAATACTCTCTCTAAAAAACAAAGACAGAGAAAAAAGAAACAAAGCTTTCTTAACAGTCCCAATGAAATCATCATTGCCAATGACGTGATCCTTCAAACAGCTTTCGTCCTCCAGAGGAACATCACTCTCACCCTCGAGGCTAAACACGAATTTTTCGTTCCACTTCGGAGTGGAACCCTACCCTGGAAGATGGAAGACAAAGTTTTGGTCTAGATAAGAGAAAAAACTATGAGAGTTCTTGAGGATCGCATAAGGGTCTGATTTCCCTAGGAGAAGAAGAAGAATCAGAGAATGACAGCAAACTCCTACCCAAAATGTCACTGTTCTTGAAGTCGGGAGTGTCGATGAGACAAACCTTCTATTCGCTCTTACTTGAAATCAAGAGATTTTCAAAAGCTTTTCCTTAAAGACCAGCGAAAAGCTTTTTTAGTTCAACTCTCACAGTTCTAAGGATGAAACTCGCCTGATGAGAAATGATGGAAGTTCTTCTCACGTTAGCCGCCTTGACGAACTCAAACGAAGATTAGAGTTTTTTGGTGGTGGAACTTGAGAGGAGAAGAGCCACCAACGAGGAATCTGGCTGTATGTTGCTACCACTCTCACTGGGGACATCAAATCAAACACCTTCTTGGCGAATGCCATGAGAATGGCCGTGGATGTGACGACGGTCCAGCACAGCAGGAGACGAGGGAACTCGAATCTCCGGATGTGATCGAAGAGATTCTTGGACTGCCGTGCGTGAGCATCGTGATCCAAGAGATCATAAATCATGGATATTTGCACTGAGAAACCATACCGAAGCATGGATTATACAAATCCAAAGTATAATTAATTGATCAATCAAAGAACTTTGAGTAGATAATGCTAGAGAATTTAAATCACAAGAATTTTTAATGCATGAGATTCATTTTTAGCGTCTAAATCCAAAATAACATGGCCAAAAAATGGCAGGAAGAAGCTTTTAACTTTAAATATCACTTGATATATCATGAAACACACAGATGTTTGCTAGATGTACAAGTATTTATGTTTAGAATCAACTTCAAACTCATACTATTAGTAGAGTCATACTAAAGCCATAATGGGCTAAACAAAAATTGAAGTTTGTCAATATAAACTTCAAAATAAAGCACAAAATTCCATTTTATTAGGATACATTCCTAATAAGGAAAATTGATTCAAGATGTATTGTCTCTTGACAGATAATAAAACTTAATGAGCTAAAATTTGTATGTGATTTGTTAATTCTTATCCAAAATGAATGGCATGCACAGAAGCTTGGATTTCAAATTTAACATTAAATTAGGATATAATTTAGTCTCAAAGAGTTTTTTGTGTTTATTTGGAATCTATTTTAACTTAGATAATGGATACTCATGAGTCTATAAATACTTATGACACAAGATACATCCTTTATTCAATATATCTATCAAACTCAAATTAAAGAAATTGATCATGATTAGTCGTTTTTGGAAAGTACTTCAAATTTTGACTCACATTCAGATAAATTTGAAGAATAGTTTTATTAGAGTCCTAAAACCACGAAAAAAAAAACTATGTGACAGTTATTACATATATTTTATCTTTACAGTGATATAAATGAACTACATACATTTAAAGAAGTTTTAATGCTAAGCACTTCTTTCAGAAATTAGGTTGCTAATGAATCTTGGGAATTGAAACCATGGATGAGTAGTTAATGTCAAATAGTGATATAGATAATTATAAAGTTCGTCTTGTGATCAAAGAACACTCTCAGAAATAAAGCATTGATTATACACAGATATCTTTTGTGGCAAAAACTAATCTATCTGGGTATTATTTACTATCTCTGCAGCTCAAAACTTGGAATTACATCAAATGAAATGCTTTTCTTAAGATTTTGAGTTTTTTGGAAATAACAAAAATCTGGCTATGGCTTAAAGCAGGGTTGGTTTTTGTAAAAATGTTATCACCGGTATAACACCATTAATGATCCATAAACTTCACTCACACTGAAGTAGATTGGAATATTTATATTTATCATAAACTATAATTGCAATTTATTTATATGACTTAATAATTGTATCTATTAAGCACAGCACATTAGTTCTCTTTCAAGAGAAATATACTACTGGCATTATTGTGTGCTATTCAAACATGTGCAAGCACTAATCTATATCCACTCTGGCATTGCATGATAAACTATCTAAAGCAAATAGTCCATGCACTGAGGGGGAGAAATGGATTTTGCAGACGAAGTCTTACCAAAATCTTGTGGGATCACTCATGTATCTTGCTACAAGGCCAGATATTGCTATTACTGTTGTAAATATGAGGCGTTTCTTAAATAATCCAGGTATGCGGCATGTAGAATTCTAAACTATCTCCAAGGTACATCCAAAATTTGGATTGTCTACTCTGGTCTTAAAGCTTCTGAAGTCATCAGCCTTACCAATGCAAATTTAGCAGGTGATCTTGACAATTGGAGTCCAAAAGTGGAAATGTGTGGAGTTGTTGTCTCTTGGTCATGGAAAAAAGAAAACAAATTACTCTTTCAACATGTGAAGCTGAATACAATGCAAATATCACAAAAGAAGCAATTTGATTGAGAAGACTTCTAGCAAATATTGGACGTCCATGTTTAAAACCCAATTGTCTACAATAACAATACGTCAACTTTAGCATGATTGAAAATCTGATCTTTCATGCTAGAACAAAACACATTGAGATGGATCACTTCTTTATTTGAGATCATAGAGTAGAAGGAGAAATAAAAAAATACTTCACCTAGTTTCGAGCCAGTTTAGGCTATACTTCTTTAAGGTAATTGGTAGAAAACTAAAGTGTATTGTATTTGAATTCTTAATATATTTCTCTTCTCAACTGAAGTGAACCGTGTTTCCTAAAAAGGACGTGTAAAAGGGAAAGGTGGTAGAGGTGTCTAATCAGGAACAAGCAGGTCTTCTGTTAGGGACGCAGAAACAATAAAGGCTCACGTTTTCATCGTATTTGTCACGTAAAGGATTTGCTCGAAGGGTAGGTTTATAAGAGATTCCGATGTTGCTAACCGGTAAGGAGAAATGAGATTTACGCACCTTGCATTATTGACTTTAAAACCGAAGGACAAACAGCGAGATACATATCAACCTACTCAACGAAGGCTTTGAATGCCTCCAAGCACTGAGCAATGTGATGGCGGTGCTGCCTGGAAAGCATTGTATCGGATTTGCTGGCAGGGAGATTGGGAATGACATACTTCTTGACCCGGGTGACTAGAGTGGGCTCATCTCCATTTCTCACACAGTCGGCCAGAGCTTTCGTCATTGGGATGACGTAAAAGGTAGGACAAGTACCTGAAGAACAATGTGGCTATAGCTCGATCAAACGAAATACCAAGTACTTACCTAGCATGACAATGCCTGGAATCGTCTGCTGGTCCGGAAAATCTTCCCTTCCCAGCCTTTCGTACAAGCGCCTGTTCTCCTGGTATGCTGCAACCGCCTCTGCCATCAATTGTGCTTCTGGATGATGGCCTACATCGTAGCTTTTGTCTTCTTGAACCAGTAGCTTGATTGCGGTGTCCAATCTCTCGATGAGAACATCAGGGGTTGCTTGAGTTTTGGCGTTGGACATGAAGAGATCCAGGGTACATCTGCTGCGCACCGAATTGTCGTCGCCATCGTACTCAAACAGCTCCAGGAGTGAGGTTGACATGTCTTCCACGGCCGACTCTTCGTGCCTGTGTGTTTTGGTCACTGCGATTATGTGCTTGACCAGGAGCTTGACGAAGCGAGACCTTATGTGTCGGATTTGTATCGTCGACTGCAGCATGACATCGCTCAAGTCTAAACCCAGAAACTCACTCACGTCCTCGTTGAACATCTGCGGAGGTTCTACCCCGAAAAACGAGCGAAACTCTCTTTCCTGGGCAATCTCCATCTTAAAGTAATTTACCTGAGTTTCTGTCCACTCGGAACCTGATTTGCATCGCCTATTCACCGCCATCAAACCCGAAACCTATTCATTGAATAATTTCTGGTTTATTCACCGAATAATTTCTAAGTATATTCAATGAATATACCAGACAACCCAGGCCGAGACAATACTATCAACTTTTTAGATTTGGAGAGTCCTTCTCTCAAGTTCTACATTTCTTCTTGCTTCTACACGTCAGATCCTCGCTCCAATCCTCGCTCCCAACGCACTTCTTGCACACAAACAGGCCCTGCGGATCGACAGCCTCCTTGATGAGCTTGAGCTTGTCATACTTGTCGCCAAAGAATGCCTGCTGCCAGTCCGGCTCGTTAACATCCGCCTCGTTGAGATAGCAGCCCGAGGATGGCGCCACTCTCCTCAGCCGGCCCCCGGTCTTGGTGATGGCGCGAGCAAGAGACTTCTTCGCCGCCTGGGTCTCGTTGGCAGGGAAGAGCTTCACGACTATGATGTGCCACAGCGCTTCCCTCCATGCCGGATTCACTGCGTTGTCTCGAGCCACTGAAACCTCGCCACCCGCGGTCAAGTACCCCATGACTCGATCGTATCCCTCGTCCCAAATCCCGACTAGAGTCTGTGCCAGCTCCTCCGGATCGTCGCTAAAGGTGCTGCTCGGGATCAATCTCGACACCAGCAGCTCCGAGGAGCCAGTTGCGAAGGAGCAGCCGGACTTGGAGCACTGGACGGCCTCGTGCCACTTGAGGTAGGAGGAGAAGCTCTGCATTGCCCCGTTGACGCTCACGCCGGCGATGCCCCTCGCCTCCGAGAGGAATGGATCAAACGAGCTCTGCGCAAAGGAGGAGTTCTTGTCTGGAAGAAGGTACTGGACGATGAGCGCCCGCTTGGCGATGAGGAAGAAGCCACCCCATCCGTCCTGGGACAGGCCCGGATTGCTCTTGACGAACTCCGTGACGACCAGCTCAAAGCTCTCGGAAGTGTTGGCGCCGACAACGTACGAGGCAAACTGCAAGCTCTCCAGCGCAGGATGAGTCGCGTGAGTCACGGAAACCACGACACCGAAAGTTCCTCCGCCGCCGCCACGAAGAGCCCAGAACAGGTCCTTGTTCTGGCAGGCATTCGCCACCACCAGCTTCCCGTCCGCCGTCACGACCTTGTACTGGAGAACGTTGTCCGCCGAGAGGCCGTACTTGGGTGACAGAGGACTGTGCCCCGCGGCTTGAGGATAGCCTCCGGCAGCTCCAACCGAGGAACACTGAGCACCAGCTATGACTTTCCCATGCGCGTCGGCAGCGCGGTAGAGCTCCTCCCACACAACTCCTGCTCCAATTGTCACGCCGGATCGAGCAGCCGAGCTGTTGCATCCCTCTGGAACAAACTCCTCGACGAAAGAAATATCCTTGAGGTGGTGCGTCCATATGCTAAGCGACCCCGCTGCGTTGCTGCGTCCAAAGTAGTCGTGACCCGTGTTCTTGACGGTCACACGAAGGTTGTAAGTCGCGGCAAATTCCACAGCTCTCTGGACGTGCGATGCGCTCGACACGTTGACGGCAAACACCGAGACCCGCCCTTGATAGCAGCTACTTTTCTTGTTCCCGGAGAGAAGGCAACCTTCGTTGCCATCCATCTCGAAGAAGGAGTCTTGCATGGCACCGGGCTGCGCAGCTCTCCAAAACGCATCGCTCCATTTCTGCGTCACCTCGAGGCACTGCAGAGCGTTGTACTCGGGCTCGTGGCACGGCCAAGCCGGCGGTTTCGAAGCTACGAGCTGCCCATCAATGGACGCATTGAGAGCCTGCCAGGCGCTTGAGTCGGGCCAGCAGTCATCAGAAGGTAGACACTTGCAGCTAAATGCCGTCGGTCTTGCTCGCATTGACGATGCCAAGAGCACAGTGAGGACGACGAGTAGCACACCACCGCAAAAGCCCATGCTCGATCGGAACTTCGGAAACTTGGAAACTGACTTGCCCCGAAAAGCGCGAGAGGCGGAGATATAAATGCTGCCCGAATGTCGAACCTGCCTTTCACTGCTGGGATAACTTCCTCCAGTCTACCTTCACTGTCGTGTATTGCCGCGGGTGATTTCTTGAGCGCATTCTCGCTTCGTGATAAAGTTGTCGACTTCGCACGCCATCTAGAACATCGGACTTACATGACCCCCCCGGCCCGGTCGAGAGGGAAAACACTCCACATATTTTGCTGGGACTCTCCAAAAAAATTCCGCCGATGGACGACGCACGCCGTCACCTCGTAAATCTTGCAATACGTGCCTGCCGTATGGCCTCGGCAGAAGTTTGCGGCGAGCCAGGCAGCGGTTCATGCTGTGGCCACGGCGGAGCCGTCGGGCTGAAGGAACTGTTGCCGCCACCAGACCTCGGAGTTCCACACATCTCACAGCTGTCGGCAGGCTCCCAGTTTTCGTACGTGCAAGCTCGACACCTCCACATCTGAAAACTTAGCCCGCCTCCACTTCCGCCACCTTCATTCCTGGATCCCACAGATCCTCCACCGAAGCGACGAGACGGCGGTGGCGATGGTCGTCCCAGTAAGAACCACAGCGGCCTAGTCACCATCCACGACCAGTTCGCCGATCTTCTTACGAGAGCCCCGATGCCACTGGAGAAGAACCTGGGAGCACGTACGTAGAGCAGCCCTGCTAGAATTCCGGAGAGGTGGCCCAAGAACGAGGCGCCTGGCATGAACATCTGGACGAGAACGAGCTCTGCCCATGCTGCAAACCTCGCTGGTACTACGAAGCCATAGACGATGGCGTTGGCTGGAGAGTTGTGATTGAGGACTACCTTGAGAGCGAAGAGAAGCGCCGAGAATCCCACGGCACAGGACGTGTAAGGCGCAGGCGAATCGGTCAGGGTCGAGACGAGCGTTCCCAGCAACACCATCAAGCCGTGAGACATCCCCAGGAGGAGAGCCACCATGGACGCGAATTTCGGGCTTCCCATTCTACCTTCGAGCTGGACGCCCTTCCAGAGCAGTGAGATCATGTTGTAGAACAGGTGCGCTTCGTCGACGTGGTAGAAAGCCGAGAGAAGCAAGCGCTTCACATCGAAATTCTGCGAAATCTCGATCAAACCGGGGGATTCTCAAGAGGATTACGAGCGCTTACCCGGAGAACAAGGTAGGGACTGAGGCAGACCTCCTCGATCGATGGCAAAACCTCGTGCAGGCTCCCAGGGCGCAGATAGACGATCACATTCGCGAGAATCAGCGCCGCCGTAACCGGCGGCTTCCTCTCGAGCTGGACGAACTGCGAGAAAACGTGAAGCGCCAGCATGAGGAGCATCCCGTTGCTACGACCGCCGCGCCTTCCAGCCATCGCCAAAAGTCCCCCCGCGCAAACCCTAGGGAGCCCCGCGTGAGGTGTATCAACAAATAAAACCTCGACACGCGTCAAAAGGATATTCCCACTTTCAAATTTGAAAAGTACGTCGTTGGAGCCCTAAAAACTTTGGCAAAATTTTGGCAGAGAGCTCTTCGCTTTCACTCTGTTCTCTGGAGTTTCGGCTCGGGCGCATCGTCATCGTCTTGGAAGATCGTGCGCTTCCCGGTCGCGGCATTCTTCTTATCCTCATGGTTACTATTTCCCTTGAATTTCCTGTCTTGCTTCCCGGGATTTCGAGCTCGATTGTCTCTGCTGTATCGATTTTGGCCGGAGGTTTCTCGCCGCTTGACCTGTTGATCCCAGATTTTCTTCCAGTAGTCACGCTCGGCTTGTCCTGGGCGAGAGAACGCACAGTAAAGCAAAGAAGAAAAACCAGCTTTGATTGCAAACCTTCGAGAGCTTCCAGCGTTGCCAAGTAATCCTTGATCACAAGACCGCCCTCGTCCGAGATCACGGCTGCTGTCCGTGCCTTGCCTGCGTCCTCTGGAGTTTCGAAGCGGATGTATCCCTCGGTCTCGCCCTTTGAGAAGTCGACAAACTGCAGGAAAAATCAAAAGTGAAGAGAAGAAAGAACGATGGCTTTGAGACCTTCACGCTCCCATACTGCTGGAAGACCGCCTTGAGGTCCTCCCTTATGACCGCGTCACTTTGAGTTCCTTTCTCTGTTTTCTCTTTTGCCTCTCCGTCTTTATCTTCAGTGTCTTTGCTCTTGTCTTCTTCTTTCTCCTCGTCCTTCTTCTCCTCCTCGGCCTTCTTCTCCGATTCTTGCTGGGCGCCCTTCTCAATCTTCGTCAGTTTAAAGCGCACAAGAAGTCCTTTCACATAGTCGTCCCTGAAGGAAGAAAAACAATCACTATCGCAAATTTCCAGGCAGACGGAATTACCTCTCTTTCTGTTCCTTCTTTGGCAGGGAATTCATGAGTGTCTCGAAGGAGTCCCTGCGAGAGAAAACCACGCCGTGAAAGACGAACTCACAACAGAAGTTTGAAAGAATTTTACTTGGACTGGAACTTCAAGTCGGCGCCCTTGAAGTTTAGTCCCATCCCAGACGCTCTCTGTGCTTCTTCTGGAGATGCAAACTCCACAATAGCGTAGCCACTGAAAGCTTTTACTGCAGGGTGACGAGGCACCCGCACGCTAAGAATCTAGAAAGCCAGAAACGTTGAATTATCCAAAGCCAAACCAAGTATAACTCCTACCTTGCAGTTGCTTTCAAAAAAAGCCTCGATCTCTTCTCTCGTGGTCTTCCACGAAAACGGTGACACTGCCAAACTCCGAGCATCAACTTCAGCACGAACCTCTTCCGGCTTTTGCATTTCGTGGACTCGTCCCACACGGAGGCCTGTAAACAACGAACACGTTTTAGAACAGGGAAAACCTTTGTTTATTTTCCAGCTAGAACACATACCATCGTCCGAAACTTTAAGGAACGAGGATTTCCTCAAAACATCCGCGACCGCAGCGACGACACCCTTGGGAATCGTCTCTGGAGTGGTTTGAGAGAGCCGCAAGTGAAATCTCATCCGAGTGAAGGCGCAAATCACCGACAAGCTCACCACTGTTACAAGGAATGGATGTTTAGAATGAAAAAAGCGATTTGAGTGGAAAGCGCGAAAGAAAAAGGTACAGCCGTCGGCGCTCTCCTCAATCGAGCGCAGTAGAAACGCATCGTTGGCGAGATTGCTGTCGCTAAAGTAGAATTCCACCTGCGAAGAAGAGAAAAGTCGCGCTCCATCTCACAATGCGCTTCCACTCACCTGTCTCGTGATCTTGGCCGCGGCGTCGTCGCCCACAGCACCATTCTCCATTGGATAAAAACCTCGAAAAACCCTAACCTCTAGAACCCTAAAAATCCTATCAAGGGAGCGATGGTGGAGGGAGCGCCGAGCTCCAAAACGGTGGCGGATGCCACCACCGCGCTCTCAGGTATTGGATTTTCACTGTTTCGATCTTCAAGCTTAGATGTGGTGAAAATGCAGCTCGCGAAGCTGTCGGCGATTTACTGAACGCTTCCCTCACTGGAACTTTGGAGGAGTTTCAAGGTAAAATCTGGTTTATTTCGAGAAGAAGAAGAAGAAGGACTAGGAGGATTCTAAATCTTTGTGTGTGTGTGTGTGCTCCAGATGCTGCAAAGAAAATGGCACAAGGACAGGAGGCTATCGTGGATGTCATTGCTGCAGTAAAAGATGCCAATGGTCGCGGACCACTTCACTTTGCTGCTCGCGGAGGAAATCTCCAAGTCTGCAAAGAGCTCGTGGAGAATTTCCATCTGGAAGTGGATCAGAAAGACAACGATGGTGTGTTTTGTGATCTTATCGACTTGAGACTTTTCGTTTGGTTTTGTTTTTGCAGGAGAGACTCCACTGATCCATGCGGCACGACTGGGACACTTTGACACAGCTAAGTTTCTGATAGAGCATAACGCTCAAGTTTCGATGTCCTCACTGGACCTTGGATCCACACCGCTGCATCATGCTGCGGGGATAGGTACCTTGAGCTAGAAAAGATATGAATTCTGACGATGTTTTTTTATAGGCTCGATTGAATTGATGCGACTATTCCTAGACAATGGTGCTAAGATCAACACTGAAAGTACTTCTGGAACGCCTCTAGTCTGGGCAGCCGGGCATGGAAACACAGAAGCCGTGAAGCTGTTACTCGGAAGTGGTGCAAACGTACGGTACTTTCAGAAAAAAGAAAAACGTTCCACCACTTCTGATTCTATGACTTTAGCCAAACATACTTGCAGAGAATGGCGTGAGTGCATTGATATCCGGAGCAGCCACTGGATCTTACGACGTTGTTTCTCTCCTGATCAGGGTATGCCATAAGTTCTCCAGTTTTTGGAAACTTTTTTTTTCTATTAACTCACTCTTGACACAGCATGGTGCCGATGTAAACATCAGCGCTAGTGGAGTAACTGCATTACATGTAGCTGCTGACACTGGAGACGAGAAGATGGTGAAATGTCTTCTAGACGCTGGAGCCGATCCCAACGCTCAAGACGAGGTAGCTTCAGTTTGGTTTTTTTTTTTTCCTTAGATGCTGTTGTTTAACTCGGTTTTTCTACTACTTTGGTGTTTCAGGATGGTGCCAAGCCTATCCAAGCCGCTGCTGCCAGAAACTCTCGCTCGATCGTGCAGATGCTTCTCCCTCTCACGTCACAAGACGCAAAGGATAACGAGTGGAGTGTGGACGATCTCATCGCCAGAGAAGCGCCTCAAAGGACGACAGAGGTCAGAGTTTCTATCCTTTTCCTCCGCTGATGGATCGATCCATGTTGCTGCAGATATCTCAAGAAATGCTGGACAAAGCCAGTGAAGCCAAGTCGAGAGGTACTGAAGCTTTCAACCGGAAAGATTACTTGATTGCTATAGATGCATACACACAGGTCATACACACACCTTTTCTACTTTTTTCTTTTTCTTTTCGGCGTGTTATTGTGCTTACTGTGTTGATTCCAGGCCCTTGATATAAATCCTACCGATGCTTCGCTCTACTCAAACCGGAGTGTGTGTTGGATACGAACTGGCCAAGCCGAGCAGGCACTCAAAGACGCAAAGGCGGCAGTGGATTTAAGACCAGACTGGGCCAAGGCACGGTATCGAGAAGGCGTTGCATTAAGGCTTTTAGAGGTAAGTAGCTTCCAATACTTTCTCGGGTCCAGAACTTACAGTAAACTCTATCAAAACAGCGATATGAGGAGGCTGCTACTGCGTTCTACGATGGTATCAATCTGGAACCAAACAACAAGGAGTTGCAAGAAGCTTTCAGGTAGCCATTGTTTTCTATCCTAGTTTCTATTTTTCGGGTTGATCACAGGTTAGCCGTCGAGACTGGGAAGAAACATCACGCAAACAATCAAAAGACAATGTAAAGTCGGGAGAGAAAAAAATCATCGCTTTCTTTCTTAACACTTCGTTCTAGAAGTAATTTACATAGTGACTGATGTTAGCAGCTCACATAGCGCAGCCTTCCCAACTCTTTTCACGTACAATCGAGCAAAAGGTAGCAACACCTCGTCGAGCTTTTCGTGGCCACCGTCCAGAGGTGGCTTGATGGCCTTTCGTATCAGCTCGGTTAGCTCCATGCTCCCCCTGGCCAAGACGTAGGCCTGGAAGCTCTCGAGGAGGGCCTCTCGGAGGTAATGGTGGTCGTCTGACGGTGGCGGCGGCCTTGGCTTGAGGAACGCGTGCTCCAAGAGCTGGGGTATCCTCGGCCGCTTGTCCTTGTCCCACATAAGGCAGCTCTTCATCACGTCCACGATGAGGGGGTTGGACACCGGCGGGAAGTTGATTACATGGTTCTCGTTGGTGATCTCTCGGATCTTCTGGTAGAAGCTGAGGTGGGAGAATGGTGTCCGGCCGTAAACCATCTGGTAAAGGATGCATCCAAGCGACCATATGTCTGACGCGCGACCACACTTGACGGTTCCCTGCTCGTCCCTCGAGTTCATGAGGAACGCTTCCGGGGACATGTAGTTGAGAGTCCCAACCTGGAAACGCAAGAGCTCTCGATGTTTATCAAAGAAAGTAACGAAGAAGCTTTGTACCTGAGACTCTCGCACGATGTTGGTTGTGTCGTTTTGTATGGCTTTGGCGATCCCAAAGTCGATAAGCTTGAGAGCTCCTTGGACGAGGAGAAAGTTCGCGGGCTTGAGGTCGGCATGGACGATCCGCTCTTCGTGTATTGTATTCACAGCTTTCAAGATATGCTGCGAATGGAAGACAAGTTTAAACGAAGACGACGAGCTAGAATGTTTTACCTCCCAATGCAACCGCAACCAATTCTCATCAAGCTGTCCATCCTCGCTTTTCTTCCGCTCAAGAATGCGTGCCAAGTCAATCTCTCCGTACTCCAGCACCATGTAAATCCGCACGTCGTTAAGGATTTCACCATGGGTAGCAGCACTATCGGACCTGAAGATGGTTTTATCGGTCACCTGAAGAATAGACACAACTGAGCACAATAGTTTACCAGCGTCGACACGTACCTCGTAATCTATAAGTTGGATAATGTGATTCTTTCCTTTCAGACGCTCCAAGTATTCGATCTCCTGATGAAAACCGCAAGCTGTCTGATGATCCCGTCCTTTCAAGATGATCCTCTTGAGACCATAAATCGTGCAGTCTTGGGCGATGACTTTGAATACGTGACTGCTTCCACCGCTTCCGATCTTGCCAAGCTTCTGATACCTCTTGTTGTTCACCCACACAAAGTTCGCATTCTCTCTTGTCTTGCCGCGAGAAGAATCACTCTCCTTGCTCTCTGTGACAACTTTGTCGTGAACATTGGCACCCTCGGCAACTTTCACTTCCTGCTGCTGTGACCGCAAGCTGTGAAGCTCTTCCTTCACACCACTGAAACCGTTTAGAAGCTTGGAGGCACCTCCTACGCTTCCTTGCTTGCTCTCAATCTGCTGGAATTGCTTGCTTTCTGAAACTTGGATTTGCTGGTTTTCTGTCACTACGACTTGGTGATGGTTCACTACGTGGACCTCCTGGTTCTTAGCTACCTGGACTAGCTGATTCACTGCTACTTCGCTTTGCTGCCGGGACTCCACCACCTCGACTTGGTCGTGACGGATCTCTGCGAGGAGCTCACTTTGTTTTTGCTGGTTCTCTGCTTGTAAGTCGTTTTGCTTCTGTTGGTTCTCGGCAGCCTCAAGTGATTCGTCTGAGCCAGTGCTGTCGTCCCCACGAAGAACGCGTCTAGGCCGACCTGGAATCAAGCAAACTCCAAAGTAAGAGCTCTCTTTCTCACTCTTCGCCGAAGCCCGAGAAGAAACTTACCTAGCAACTTAAACCTGGAGTTTCTAAACGTTCCAGGAGCGCAAATCCCCGCGATCGTCCCAAGATTTGGAGCGATGCTCCCGGATGCCGTGTTGTGATGCGCACTCCCGATCGCCGCGCGCGCCTCGTCGGTGATACCAGACGCATCCCAGCCTGCATTGGCGGATGGAGCCGCGAGGTCGTGATCCCTGAGCTCCACGGAGCTTCCAGGGGCGAAAATCCCCGAGATCGTACCCAAACCCGGCCCTGTGTGTCCCAGCGCCGCATTGTGATGCGCGGAGCCGAGCACCCGGCGCGCCTCTTCTGTGAGGATCGATGCTACGCCCGCGGCTGGAGGAGCGAGCTCATTCTCCATAGAACTTCCATGGAACAAAACAAGAACCCTAGCTAGGTTGGAGTGAAAAAAATATTTGCTACCCGGTTAAAATGGTAAAAGAGACGTCACTCGCGATATGGATGGACGCCCACGATTGCAAGGTTTGAAGGAGCAGCGAGCGAGGGAAGGCGGAGAAGGCGCTCTTCGCGATTTGGCATCGATCGATCCGGTAAGTAGTGCATTGCATTGGAAGGGAATTTTGGGAGATTTGGCTGCTCTCAGCGCTGCGAATCCGTGCGATCAGGGTTTGCGTGGCCTCAAAATCTCGATTGCCAGCGCCCTAAACCCAGGCGCTTCGCGTGATATTGGCATTTCGATGATTTCATCAAGCTTCTCGTCTTGATCGATCGTCTTGTCTTGTGTCGATGGATTTGCCTTTTTTTTTTCTTGGTTCTTCCTTCTTGGTGGTTTTCTTTAAGAGAGCGACTGGACTGGCATCCTTTTTTTTTTCCCGTGTTATCGCAAAAGAAATCTCGCTAACACGATGACCACTTTCCGCTTGAACAGGAAGAACAACGAGATGAGCATGAGAATCCCGAGCAAGGAAAGAATAAAAATCCAGTCTCTCAAGAACAACCATCATCTACTAGTCTGCCGGATCGTCCTTGGCCCGGACCACGCAAAGAAGCTGAGAGCTTGATTCCAATTCCAGCACTGGAGTGGTCCTGTCGTGATCAAACGCAACGATCCAGCTTACGTGCCAGGAACTTAAGCGCAGGGATGGAAGATCAAACAAGAAAGGAAGAGATATCTGCAAAAGTGGATTGGACAGGCTAGATTTCCACAGACACAGACACAAGCGTCTCGGTGATCCGGTGGTAGCATCCTAGCCGTTGGTGTGGTTGACGGCAATCCATAGGAAAGCAAAGGTGGGAGCTTATTTAGCAGCGGGTGGATAACGACGATTATCGGCCGGTATATTAAACTTTGACTGGCACAGAGCCTCCAGCAGCAGCGGTGCCGGAGCCGAGCAAAGCTTTCCTCGCTCTCCTCGGCTCTCTCGCTCAACTCGAGAGAACGGGATCGGTGCGTCAGGGTGTGAGAAAAGAAGGAAGGGGGCTGTACCGGGATCCTCTTTTTCGTAGATAGCGAAGTTAGCTCACCCGCACCGGAGATGCATCAGCTTGCTCTCAAATTGTGCTCGTCCACGCCATCGGCACAGGTTTTCGCGCAGCAGCAGCAACACAAAAGGTGCCTGCCGGTGGCGACTTGCTCCAGATCCTCGTCATGGGAGACCGCTAGAGGCTCCGAGTTTAGGGGCAGGTCCATGCATGCCGAGGTCAAGAAGATGAGCGTTTTGGGGTTCAGCAACAGGCTCCAGCTGCCGTCTTTGGTGAGAGCACGCGCCAGTGGTGAGTTTTTCTTTCCTGCTTTCTCCTCTCCTGGCTCTCCGAGCCTGATCTGATTGATCCCGGGAGTGCTCCATCGCTTCTTGGGGGCTTAGATCTTTAAGGCATTGATCTACTCACTGGGTTTTCCATGCAGACGGTGAGATGCAAGAATTTGTCGACAAAAAGTCGTCTTCTGGAGGAGCAGTACTGCCTTATGTGGCAATCGCGAGCTTGGGAGCATTTCTGTTTGGCTACCATCTCGGGTATGGCTAATTTCTGGCACGCTTCGCTCTCAATCTGCTCCTCTGGACAGGGTTGTAAATGGAGCTCTGGAGTACCTCGCCAAGGACCTTGGCTTCGCTGGCAACGCTGTTCTACAGGGTAATGCGTTCTAGAGCTCCTCCTGCGCTTTCAGTGACACGTTCACACTTTACAGGATGGGTTGTGAGCTCCACGCTGGCTGGTGCGACTATTGGATCCTTCACCGGCGGATCCCTGGCTGATAAAATCGGCCGCAGGCACACGTTTCAGCTCGATGCGTTGCCGCTCGCAATTGGAGCATTTCTCAGGTCAATCTCGTTTTCTTATCGTTTTACCAGCACTTAATATTCGAAAAGTCGCATGCAGTGCAACAGCGACCACTGTGCAGGCCATGATAGCAGGAAGGTTTCTGGTGGGGGTCGGAATAGGAGTCACGTCCTCTATTGTACCTCTCTACATTTCTGAGGTTGGTGTCACCAAAGATCACTCAACTTAAACCTTAGCTTATCCGGCAAGTGCAGATTTCCCCAACTGAAATCCGCGGAGCCCTCGGCTCGGTTAATCAGCTGTTCATTTGCATCGGTATTTTGGCCGCACTGGTTGCTGGGTTACCCTTGGCTGGAAATCCTGGATGGTAAACTTCAGCTTTGCGATAGAAAATGGAACTGAAAATGACCCAAGTCTATGATGCAGGTGGCGTTCTATGTTCACTTTGGCTACTGTACCGGCGATTCTTATGTGGCTAGGAATGGTGTTCTCTCCTGAGAGCCCAAGGTGGCTGTATAACGTAAGAGAGTTTTTTTGGAGGTTTCTCTCTTTCTTACAACATTTTAAATGCAGCAAGGACGGCCTGCCGATGCCGAGAAGGCCATTGAACGTCTGTGGGGAAGGGCCAGAGTGAATGATGCCATGGCGGAGTTGAGAGGTAGCGGTAGCAAACAGGATTCTTCTGAGGAGAGCGCTGGCTTTGGCGACTTGTTTAGTCGACGTTATCGCAGAGGTATGACAGCCTTTTCCTCATTTTTCTTCTTTGATTTAAATCTTTTGTGGTCGATGCAGTTGTAGGCGTTGGGGCAACGTTGTTCTTGCTTCAACAGTTTGCTGGTATCAATGCAGTTGTTTATTACTCAACTGCAGTGTTTCGGAGCGCCGGCATCACGTCCGATGTTGCAGCGAGTGCACTCGTTGGAGCTGCCAACGTCTTTGGTACGCGTAGCTCTCCTCTGTTTTCTTCGTCTAACTCGACACCATATCAGGAACTGCTGTGGCCGCATCACTGATGGACAAACAAGGACGCAAAAAGCTTCTAATCACAAGTTTTGCGGGAATGGTAAGGCCTTTCAAGCTTGTCCCATTCGCTGATCTTATCCGTCGTGTGGCAGTCAATATCAATGCTCGTATTGGCCCTTGCTCTTTCATGGAAGGCATTGGAGGCTTACTCTGGATCCTTGGCTGTTCTGGGGACTGTAACGTAAGTGCAATCCTTGTCTCATGATGTTTGTCTCTCTAACGAAAACTATGGCGTTTCTTTCCAGATATGTTCTTTCTTTCTCGCTGGGGGCTGGTCCTGTGCCCGGTCTACTTCTTCCGGAGATATTCGCGAACAAAATCCGAGCGAAGGCTGTTTCACTGTGCATGGGTGTGCACTGGGTACGAAGAAGAATTGTCTTGCTAGCTTGTGTGCTAATGGGATACGAATGCAGGTGTGTAACTTTGCAATTGGGCTCTGGTTCTTGAGTGTCGTCAACAAGTTCGGCGTGAGCAAAGTGTACTTGGCCTTCTCTACCGTGTGCCTTCTGGCAGTGATTTACATTGCAAACAATGTGGTGGAGACCAAAGGACGGTCCCTGGAAGAAATCGAGCTGGAGCTCACGCCTGCTGTCTAGCAAAAAGAGGAGAAGCTCTGAATGACAATTTTGCTCTATGAACTGTTTGGAAAAGCTTTCAGAAAAGAGCAGATTTTTTTGATAAAACATGACTAAATCTCCGCCGTCGATCAAAGTTCATCATAGCCGTCTAGTTATACGGCTCTGAAAACCAGGTCTGCTTAGAACGACGCCGAGAGAGAAGCTCGGATCATGGCCAAGATCCACGGCAATGCAGTCTTTATTGCAATCCCTTCCTCCAGCGTCGAGCAGCTCCAATGGCAACCAAATATTTGAATAGCCATTCTTGCCAGAAATTTGATCCTTCGATAAACGTTAGGGAGTTTCTTAAATGAACTTTAGCACACGTCTTTCTCGCTTTGTCGAAGAAGAGCATAGTTTTGTTCGCCATCTCGTTCTTGCTCCGCAATTGTTCTCGGCAGCCACCAAAAAAGCTTTTCCAGCTAGAAAGGACCAATCAAGGTCCTCCTTTGCATAGAGGAGCGCAACAGGAGGCACCTTCTTGGTCTTTTTGGGAGAAGGCTTCATTGCTTTCTCTACACTTCTAGCAGACTCTGGCGCAGGCTCGGTCGGAATGGACACTGGCAGACTTCTTCTGTGGCCATGCCTACCGAGTCCCTCCAAATTTGTCCTAGTCTTGTCACCCTGTGGATAGATGCCTTTACCTGGGACACCTGAGCCCCGAGGAGCTCGACCAGCTGTGCCACAGCAAAGATGTACCAGATGCCCGCTTTCACCTGCGGTTGCTCTCAGATTTCGCCCGAGAGCTGCTGCGGCACGACTTTGCCGATTCGCACGAAGACGATGAAGTGTGGGAGCCGTTGGAGCGGTCCTGGGAGCAGTTTTGTCTTAGCAAGGGGATGATTGTGCACCCTCGTCGCTTTGTGGATCGTTGGCAGACTGAATTGGAATCCTATCCTCTGGAGCCCCTCTGCACTCCACCACCTCTCTGCTTCATTGTTGGTAGCGCATGCTTTGATCTATTTTCCTTTGCCTGAGCCAACTTTTTGCAACAGGGGACAAGCTGACAGGGATGAGCTCTCCGGCACCCGGATCTTTTGTTCTCTTCTCCGGTAGGCTTCAAAGTCTCCTTTTTGTTTTGGACCTGGGACGGTGTCCTATCCTTTTATCGTATCTGGGCGTACTAATTGAATCCTTCAGGAAAGCATGTCCTCAACATTTTCGATCTTGTCTGCAAGTTGATGGAGAGCGACTATTTCTTGTGTTTGCCCGTGGCTGGAACCTCCGGAGGGCCAGCGAGGGTCATAAAGACGTGCAGGAGAGAGTGGCGAGAGCATATTCAGGGCTCATGGGCAACAGGAGTGCCATAGGCGAAACATATGCCAGGCGGACGCCGTACTTTTATGATGACATTTTCTTCATGCCGTTCCGCGTCAAGGAGGCGAGGCTTTTGCGCCGCGGGGTGTTCTACAGCCACCTCCTGCGTTTGCTGGTGCTGGAGAGGCCCCCAAACTCCACCCTCCCGCACTACCACTCGCTCCTCAACTGTGCTACTCATGCG